CTGTCACCTTGGCCCTCCTTCTGCTCCTGTGTGGACTGGAGCCTCCACTCTGTCTGCTGTGCCTTCTCTCCACCTCCTCCAGGAAGCCTCCCATCAGGAGGTGCTCCGCTCTCTCGTGCCACACACCCTCTTATCTCGTGGTGGGCATCTCTTAGCTGCCTGGAAATGAAGTCTTGCTTTTCTTTTCCCTCTCCAGCACGTGGCTGGAGCATGGCTGGCGGGGGCAGAGGTGCTGGAATGGAAGGCGTAGTCGAGGAGGGCCGCAGGACGTGCTGGGGGCCACTGTCGGGGGCTGCACGTGGGGTGGGCTGAGCCCCGGCATGTCCCGAATGCTGCTGCCACCTCCCCCTTGCAGGTACAAGGGGCCGGAGCTGGAGATGTGGTCGCTGGGGGTCACGCTGTACACGCTGATCTTTGAGGAGAACCCCTTCTGCGAGCTGGAGGAGACCATGGAGGCCATGATCCAACCCCCGTACCTGGTGTCAGAAGGTGAGGGCGCCCGGTCCCCCACCTCAAGCACAGCGACTCTGTCCGTGCTGACGGCCTCATTGCTTGCTTCCCATTCGTCAAACACTGATCTGAACAGAAGTGTAACTTGAATGTGACTAAACCCTCGTGTAAATTTTTTTTTTAAAGATTTTATTTATTTATTTGAGAGAGAGAGAGAGAAAGCCCGTGAGCACAAGTGGGGGGAGGAGCAGAGGGAGAGGGAGAAGCAGGCTTCCCGCGGAGCAGGGAGCCTGACGTGAGGCTTGATCCCAGGACCCTGGGATCACGACCTGAGCTGAAGGCAGACGCTTAACCAACTGAGCCACCCAGGCGCCCCAGTCTCTCTTGTTCTTACAACGGCACTAATCCCATCATGGAGCCCTGCCTTGATGACCTCAGATGACCCTGATCACCTCCCAGGGAGCATTGGGGGTTAGGGCTTCACCATAGGGGTGGGGGAAGGTATGGAGATAGTTTGGTCCGTAGCAGCCTAGAAGGGGATTTTTAGAGCTTTGCTAAGGTTCTGGGTTCCCATGAGCCATGCTTCTTGCAGCGTGCTGTCCCTCCCACAAACCGTTCCCGGTGCTCTCTCACTGCATTCTCAAGACTCTCCTCTGGGCTGGTGAGGCTCAGAGCAGCCTGGTTGAGGAGACACCCACATTGTTACAGGAATTGGGACCCAAATCTAGACCCAAGGCTGGGTCTCTTCTCAGAGCCCATGCTTCCTTCTGGGGGGGATGATGCAGGGCTCACCTGCGGCCGCCTCCCCCCACTTTCATCACACGAACCCGGTGTCATTTGAGGCTCTGCATGGCCAGAGCCCTGAGAACAGACTGAGCTCCAGAAGCTCTGCAGGGTAGGTTAGGTAAGCGAGGTGGGGTCCTGAACCCCACACTTTCATTTCAGAGGGGACGGGCATGTCCTGCAGCTTGTCTCCGGGAGTAGCTGGGCCCGTGTGCCCAAACCCCCAGCTTCTTGTCAGTGGAGGTTTCCTGGGCCAGTCAGAGGTGCTCTTGGTGGGCAGACCCAGGACCTGCAGTTTGAGACCTGTTCCACTTGGGCCCAGCCCCGACCCACCATCAGTCTTCTGGCCACATGCCTAAGGTGGGTCTTGATGTCTCCAGATCTCATGAACCTCATGTCTGGGCTGCTGCAGCCTGTGCCCGAGCAGCGCACCACCCTGGAGAAGCTGGTGACAGACCCCTGGGTGACACAGCCCGTGAATCTTGCTAACTACACCTGGGATGAGGTGTGTCGCATGAACAAGCCAGGTGAGAGGCATGATCTGTGTGCCAAGAAGGCAAGGAGAGCCCCAGGCTGCCTTCCTGGGTCTGGGGAGAAGAGGACGCTCCCTCCTCCACGCTGCCCGACACCAACGTCGGGGCCTGTCGCTGGCTCGTCACCTGTGCAACACGTGGGGCCTGAGTCTGCTCCAGAGGCCCCTGAACACCACTGGGGCCTTGGAAGGTGGCTGAGCACCCAGGGGAGCCCCTGACAAGGAGGCACCCACAGGAGGGGCTGGGGCGGGGGGCAGGGGGTTTGAGAGCAGCTGGCGGTGGCCTGGGCCAGCTGAAGGGGAGGGTGAGGCTGCAGATGGCGAGCGGGGTGCTCTGAGGGGACCCGGGGGCCCTGGCTCTTCTGACGAGGCTCCTGGCTGCAGAGCTGGGCGGCAGCAGCCCAGTGTGTCTGGTCACTGCCGCTCGGAGCGGGCGGACCGAGCTGGTGTTGGCGGCCCTGGGCATAAACTCGCCGCAGCACCTCAGCAGGGGCCGGGGACTCTGCAGCAGTGCCAGGCGGGTGCTCAAGGGTCCTGCTGATGTCTTTTGTTCTAGGAATTCTACCAGAGAGAAGCAAGTGTCTTAGGATCTTGTGTTAACACCTGATACCATGTCTTCTTCTTTCTCAGAAAGTGGAGCTCTGTCCGGTGTGAGCCTGGAGGCCGAGAGCAGGTGCGCCAGGGAAGTGGCGTGGGCTCTGGAGCCCTGCGGGGCCCTGTGCCCCAGGGGAGGCCCCTGATGCGCCAACTCCAGCTCCCTGCTGCTCCCTCGGGAGCAGGTTGTTTTCAGGCCCCATCCAGTCAGAGAAAGTAAATTCTCAAGCATTAGGCCCAATTCACCTTCTAAAAACTCCTCTGCAAGTTTGAGAAATGCTAGAACAAAAGCCAGTGGTGCTACAGATTCTAGGTTTATAAATAGACTTGGAATTCATTTTTCACATGACCTTGGATAAGCATGCTAGCATTTGGTTGAATTTTGTGCTATGAAAGGGCTTTAATCTTTCTGATGTTGTATATATGCATGTGTTTGTTTCCTCTGACTTGACATGTGCTCATCTGATGTGTGGAGTTGGTAGAACTGGTTATCAGAGACCAGACTATTTCATTAACTTATTTTTTGAACATTTCCAAATTAAAGCAATTTCGTAGTGAGCCATGATCCGGACTTGGACTGACTGAATTCTTCCACGATGCCGGCGTGGGGAGTGTTTCATAGCTTTACTTTTATGTTTGTGTACCCTGACATGCCCCTGCTGGAGAGGGGCTCGGCCTCCATCCGTGGGAGGGGGGTCCCTCCCCTGGGTGGGCCCAGACCTGCAGCTTGTTCAGTCTAAGGGGGCCGGGGGAGGGGCCAGCTGTTGTCAGGCACGTCCCTTCTCCCCTGCACGGCGCTCTAGCCCACCGTCCGGCTGGGCCCTGCTGTCACCCAGACACCCTCCCAGCACTCCCCAGACATCCAGCCCCAGCCCCACGTCTGCAGTGGGTGTCCAGCCTGCCTATTTCCCATCTGGTTCAGGTGCTCGGGGGTCTCTCACACACTTAGATGTCTCCTCCCCTCCAGGCTCCAACCCACCCCCTCTGAAACAGAATCAGGGAGCTCAGTGAGCATGCGCAAAGCAGCCTTTATTCTATCTGTGTTGGAGGGGAGGGGGTGGTTAGGAGTAAGAGGGAAACCTTTTATTCTTTTCCTTGCTAAGATGGCAAGAAGAGAAAAAACCCAAGACCCCCCCCACCTTTCCACCACATCATCATTTTCTGCAGGTTGTAGGCTCCTCCTGCTGAGTCCTCAGGAAGATGCTCAGCGGTCACCCAGCTTCGGTAAAGTTCTGTGCTCGTTTTCCACTATTCATTTAGGGAGCACTCAGCTGCCTTCTAATATCTCACGACGCCAGGATAGCAGTTGAGTTAATTCTTAACCTTGAGGATAGGGGATATTGCCATCCCGTTCCTTTAGAAGGTGCTGCCTGAGTCCCTGCCCTCAGCAGAGACTGACTGACATGGGGAGGGGGAGGGATGGCAGAGGCATGGTTTTTAGGAGTACCCTTTTTAAAGTGTGTAATAAGAAGTGACCTTTACGCTTCAGAATTCAAATGAATTTCTTGATATTTTAAGAATTCTTTTCCAGAGTGAAAAAAACCCAAATGTTTTTCCTTGTAGTATATATGATGCTTGTAACACATAAGTTACAGGATGTTTTTTCAGACAGTGTGCAATGGGCTAAGAATGCAAAGTGCTAGCTCTGCAGGGACTGACTTCTAAGAAAAAAATAATCAAAACCTATCCTACCTGGGCGCCTGGGTGTTTCAGTGGGTTAAGCGACTGCCTTCGGCTCAGGTCATGATCCCAGGCTCCTGGGATCGAGTCCCACATCAGGCTCCCTGCTCTGCGGGGAGCCTGCTTCTCCCTCTGCCTGCCATTCCCCCTGCTTGTGCTCTCTGTCAAATAAATAAATAAAATCTTTATTAAAAAAAAAAAAACCTATCCTACCGGATGGCAGTAGGAAGTCTGCTTTGAGTGCTCTCTGCAGAAAGACTGCAGGTAGGAGTCTCCACGTTCCCAGTGTGATTCCAGAGCGCTGAAGATGCTGTTGGCTTTTAGAGTAACCCCTGCATCGCAGCCATGACTTCACTCCTAGAGCTAGATTACGCTCATTGACCGATTCCTTCCAGGGAGTCGCGGTGGCTCACAAGGATTTTCTCAGGCTTCGAGTGTAAAAGCATTATTTTGAGTCGAGTGAAAAACGACGAACACAACCGACCTTTTCTTGGACACGGCGCGTTCGCAGCGTGAGCTGCCTTGGCGCCCAGCCCCGGGGCGGGCGGCGGGGGGCAGGTACACTCTGCGGGTTTCAGACTCGAGTCCAGCTGTGGAGCCGAGGCCGGCGCACTACCCCGCGTCTCCGCCAGGGGGCGGAGCCCGCGAGTCGGGAGGGCGCCCGCGCCGCCGCGCTCGTCTCGGGACCGGCCAGGCCGCCGGCAGCGGTGGGGAGCGGACGCACGGGCAGGGGCTGCGCATTTGCTGCGCTGGCCGAGAGCCCCTGGAGAGCGGGGAGGCCGGGCGGCACCGGCCCGAGGCGCAGGCCCGCCGTCCCGGGGCTCCGGCCGCGTCCACCGCACCCGGGAGGAGCCGCGGCGGAACGCGCCTGCCGCGCTCTCGCGTTTGCCCGGGGGAGGGCGGAAGTGCGGACGGCGAGGGTCTACTTCCGGCGCCACAGTCGCCGTCGCCCCTCCTCGCCATGGCGGCGCTCGGCCGGCAGGTGAGCTGGCGCTCGGTGCCGGGTGTGTTCTCGTCGCACCGGAGCCTTCCCGGCGGCCGGACGGAGGGAGCGGCGGGCGCGCCGACAGGGCGGGAGCGGGAGGGCGTGAAGCGCTCGGGCGCTTGGCGTGCGCTTGGGCGTCGGGCCGGCCGGGTGGAGCGGGGTCCCGCGCGTGCCGTGAATTTAGGCTCAGCCGCGTGCGGACTCGCGTGAGGCCCCGGGCTGCCGGCTGGGAACCAGCTCGCACCCCCGCGGTTGGCCTGGGGGTTACTGTCCGCGGTTGTACGTGGGACGCAGCGATAGAGAAAGAGGGCTCCTCGGAGATCCCCGATCCCAGGAAAAGCGCAGGCTTCGGCGAGGGCGGCTGCCAGGCCGTCCTGCCCCGCGCGGTTTTCCGGCCGCGGAGACAGCCCTGGCGTCCGTGTGAAGCGGCATCATCACGTGAATACGTTCCCCCCGCGAACGCCTCCCCGCTCCCTGCACGTTGGGCCCTGACCTTTGTGAGCCGTCATATGCACACGAATGCGCTTTGGTTTCTCTCTTCCAGCGCGTCTATTTTCAGTTCCATTTGCAGCCCCCCCAGGCACTGCTTCTTAGAGGGTAGAGGAAAAAGACCCGCACACACCCGGGCCCACTTTCCGGGCTGGCTTTGGGACAGTTCTCTCCGGCTCCTCGTGCCCTGACCCCTCCGTTAGGGCAGCAAGAGCTAGTAGAGACTTGCTTGGCTCTGCCCTCTGTATGCAAACTGTCTTCTCCGCAGGCGTTTCACGCTCAGGTCGGCGTTTGCAGGTTGTTGCAAAGCCTGCTATGCTTATGTGGGACCAAGACACGAAATAAGCTGGCTCCAGGCTCCAGAATTCCGTGGTGTCCTCTACATTGGAGTGGTGAGGAGCTGATCCCCTTTTGGTGCTGTGTCTTATAGGTCTTCGACTGGCACCGCCTGGTCCCCCTCACTTGGGCCCGCGTTCCTAGGCAGACCCGTCGTGGAGAACAGAAAAGGACGTCTGCATCTTTGTTGTGTAAACTGACCACAGCCTCCAATGGAGGGGGCCTCGAGAAGTTATCCCGCGTGGAATCCAGAAAGTACATGCAGGAACCAGAGCGCAGGACGAGTCTCCCACGGTGCCCCCATGAGAAGCAGAGGACTCCTGTGGCTCCAGGATTCCTGGAGCAAGAGAAGGTCATCACTTCCCTCCTGGACATGGGTTTCAGTGATGTCCACGTTAACGAATTGCTCCTTCTGTGGCCAAGTACGCACCCTCAACAGTTGTTGGACATCATTACAGAATTACTACTCTTGGGTTTGAACCCAGAGCCTGTGTACGTGGCCTTGAAGAAAAGTCCTCAGTTGTTGAAACTGCCTGTAATGCACGTGAGGAAGCGCTCCAGTTACCTGCGAAAGCTTGGTCTTGGAGAAGGTACAAGAAGGCCCTGATTTCATGTCCAGCGCTGAGGAGTCGGGGTTGGGGTGCGAGTAGCCCAGGTGGGGTGGGCTAGGGGAGGCTTCTGGGAAAAGTTCTTGAGAGTAACGTGTGGTTTGGCTTGCAGGTGAGAAGCAGTGACCTCTGCTGATGGCACTGTAGGAGGGAAGGGGGGACTTGTCTGGTTTGCCCACTCTGGGGGCTCTAGCGTCTGGAACAGTGGGTGGTGAGCTTGTGGTATGTGCTCATGCTCAGCAGACAGAGGTCAGTGTATGGTAGTAACATTCGCGTACGTACGCGGTCTTTGACATTTAACTTAGCTTGGTGGTGTCCGTACGACAAAGCCAAAGGCTTACTACAAAGTCCCTTGTAAAGACATGGGTTCCAGTGGAACCCGAGATGGTCCCAGACTCCTAGGAAACAGGGAAGTGACTGTTCCCCCCAGCAGGATCCACATCTCAAGGATTCTAGGATTTCGTTGGATCCCTGGGTGGGCCTTCAGGAGAAGGGGGCTGGGAGCCCCTGAGGGTCCCAGGGATCCTTACGCATGTTGACCACAGGAGAGCCACTATTTTTTTTTTTTTTCTTTTCATTTTTGACTCTTACTGGTAAGATATTGTTCAGGGGGAGATATTGTTGTTTGGGGATCAATTTCAGAGGCTCTCTGTGGGCCTTCTTCTCCAGAAGATAAGGAAGAAGTTAGCCTTGTTGCAGTGTAATCTAAAAGGCTAAACTTAATACTTTATATGCTATGATTATAAGTTACGAAACTGAGCAAAGCCTTCTGCTGCAGAGGGAAAGTCTAAACTCCTAGAAGTCATTCTAGTAAGACAGTGAGTAGCTCAACTGTTAGGAAGATTGTTAATACCAGTTGTGTGTGTGTGTGTGTGTGTGTGTTAATACCAGTTTAAATAAATGATTTTGTGTGTGTGTGTGTGTGTGTGTGTGTGTTAATACCAGTTTAAATAAATGATTTTAAGTTTCCAGGTACTGAATTTTGCCCAGCTGTCCATGGGAAGACCATAGGCCCCAATTTCCCTTCAGTTGTTTCAGTTACCCTAATGCGTTTGTTAATAGGGCTTCTTTCGCTCAGTATTGCCCTAATGTGGGTAAAAGATATGGTCACCCCACTAAGTAGGACAGCATTGTTTGTGGCTGGCTGTGCATCATGAGTATTCTCGTCATTATTCTGTTAATAATTATTATCATGGAACTCTTCATCGAGTTCAGGCTCCCAGATCTTAGGAAGGTTGTTTGTGGATGCTTCAATGACTATTTTGTCGTGGAAGGAAATGTCAGCCCACAGCCCCAATATGGGGGAAGCTAGTGTCTCATCCTACTATCTGATCTTTCCAGTAGATCCCCTGGGAAATTCTTTAGATGAAGAGGGCAAGAGGAGGAAGCCTAGAATATAAGGTTTATGGCGTTCAGCTGGCAGGCCAGCAAGAGGCCACCTTTTTATACCAGGGAGGGGGTCAGAGAGGAGATAGTCATTCTGGCCCCTCCCACCGCCACATGTCCCTGGGCAGGCATCGGAAGCTGCCCCTCACGTGGAGGAGCGCATCCTCATTCATTTATTCAGTGCTGGCGTGGGTGTGCCAAGCTCCTTGGCTTTCTGGAATGTCCTGAAGTTGTGTACTTGCCTTTTTTACGTTCTGCAGGGAAACTAAAGACGGTGCTTCTCTGTTGCCCTCAAATCCTCACCATGCATCAGAGGGACATTGACAGCATTGTTGGTGTTCTCAAGGAGAAATGTCTTTTCACGGTACAACAGGTGACCAGGATTTTGCACAGATGCCCCTATGTTCTTCAGGAGGACCCCAGTGAACTGGAATACAAATTCCAGGTGAGGATGACTGGTGGGGGATTTGGGAAGTAACAACATGTTCTTTGTAGTGAAGGTCAGCTCCATGGATGAGAGGCCACAGGCACCCTGAGGGCTATAGTGGACGAGGCGAGAGGCTTAGATCCTCTGCACGCGCCAGCCAGAGAGAGTCTGGCTCTGGTTTTTCACTTCTTCACAGAAAGCCTATCCTGCAAGTTTTCTGCTGTTAATAATGAATGACCCAGTCCCATTTCTGGGGTCCAAATGGGGCCTCTGCTTGAAATAGCTAATTTAAGAAGAGCTAAAAATCTTCCTTTCTTTAGAACCTGTTCTGCATATTGATTTTGGAAATGTAATTGTGACAGTTGTCCTAACTTGGGTGTCAATTATTACAACTAAGGTCAAATTGCTAGATGTTTGCTGAATTTTTTGCCTATTCTTTTCCACACTCAGATCCCTCTTGCCCCTTTATTTTCTGCTAAATTTTTCTCAACGTGAATTTGAAAATGCTTTGAAAACTGTCAGCCATCACACAAATGCTGGGCATCATAGAGTGTCCTGGCTAGTTGGGCGGTTCTTTGTGAGTGCTTTTGGGCAGCTTGCGTTGATTACAGACTGTGGCAGGACAGGTTGTAGGTTACTGTGCCTGGGACCCCTAACTGTGTCTGTGTCTCCAGTATGCCTATTTTAGGATGGGGGTTAAACACGCGGACGTGGTGCGGACTGACTTCCTGCAGTACTCCATAACCAAGATCAAGCAGAGACATGTGTTCCTCGAGCGCCTAGGACGGTACCAAACCCCCGATAAGAAGGGTCAGACACAGGTCCCCAACCCTTTACTTAAGGACATTCTCAGAGTCTCAGAAGCTGAGTTTCTGGCCAGGACAGCCTGTTCTTCCGCTGAGGAGTTTGAAGTTTTCAAGAAGCTCTTTGCTCGGGAGGAGGAAGAGGGGTCTGAGAGCCACATGCCTGACAACAAAAGCTTAAGTCTGGACGAGGAGGCTGAGAATGAGGAGGAGGAGGAGGAGTGACGGAAGGACCGGAATGAAGAGCCCACAGATATCAGAGAACATTATAATTTTCTCAAAGCTTTTGAGAGCTTCACTTGGATCTTATCAGGTTATTTTTCCTTCTAAAAACTGGTCTTCTGATGAAACATTATTATAAATCACCTGAGAGGTGGGTCAGACTAAATAGGAGCTGCGTTAGTTTGATCTGTTGTCAGGTCTCTGTGGGGAGGGCCCTCTTCCCTCCTGCATGGAAGACAGACTCTGAGCTGTTAGAGTCAGGGGACTCAACACCTCAGCATTTGGTTTTGGTTTTTCTCTGTTGATGTGTGATAACTCCGTGACAGTGAGTGGGGAATCGGGTTCCTTCCTGTGGTTCAGGAGTCATTTTACATTTCCTTGTAGTGATAAAGATAAAACTATGAGCAGGCACGGAGGTTTTAGTACATCACAGCACTTTATTTTATGAAAACAAGTAGCAGGTTTTCCACAAAAACACTCGTGTTTTTAATCCACAAATACTGCTTTCAGTGTACAGCGTTGTCAAGGAAGGTATTTAGTGATGGTTTCATTTTGCCCAGCTGCTTAAAGCCAGCCGAGTGTTGGGGGACTTTTCTTTCTGTGAGGAATGGGCCCTGGCTCTGACCTTTCAGGGATGTCGGTTTTCACGCCAGCTCCTGGCCGGCGGGCCGTCTGCGGGCCTGCGGTCTCTGGCGGTCAGTGGGTGCTGCCCTGGAGCATGCCAGAACAGGAGGGGGCTGGGGGCATCTCATGGTTGTGGCTTCTGAGACCAGAGGAGAGGAGCCCTTGTGCAGGGTCTGTGAGCGGGGTGGGGCCTGGTGTCATTCAGGGGGCTCCCAGGACACTGTGGTTGTGGGAGTCCCCTTGGGGAACCCAGGGGGCCGGAGGGGTGACTTAAAAAGTTGGGTCGGGGTGGAATTTGAATTAGTCATCTCTGAGGTAGAGGCCCAGCCCTCCTGGCGTGGGCTCTGTGAGGGAGTACTGGTGCACCCCAGAATGTCCTGTGTGTCCCTTCCTTGGAGGGAGCTGACACATGGTTGATGATACAGAAAGCATTTTTGGTGATGTAACCAAAGTCCAGGTCTCGGCAGCATTTTAACAACTAGGTAAAACTGCTTGGCCTGATTTTTCCCGCAGAGACCGTGTAAGAATCCTGTCAGGCAGCAGCTCCCAGCTGGAGTGATCTTGACCCCAGGGAACATCCAGCAACATATGAGGACATTTTTGGTTCTTAGGACCGAGGGAGGGTGCCGTGGGGATCCAGCGGCTGGTGGCTGGGCTGCCGTGAGCCATCCTGCTGTGCACAGGATGGCCTCAAGCAGAACGATGCAGCCTGAATTGTCACCAGTGCAGAGGCTGAGGAACTGCCCGAAGGCCTTGGTTCACGAGAAGGTAGGTTGGAAGCAGGCCTACATTGCTTATATTTCTTTTATTTAAAAGAAAGTAATTAGCTGAGTTTTTAAGTTCCTTTCCCATGTGCACCGAAGTGCTGCTGGTAGGTTTGAGCTGTGTTTACTGTGGGGACTCAGCACTGAGGTGCAGATGCTTTTGTTTCCTCTGGGCTCATGTTCGAGCATGACAGTAAAGAGAAAGACATTTTCTGCAAAAGAAAAGTAGCTCAGTGAATCCCTGTGCATCCGAGTGAGATGTCCAGTGGGAGGAGTCCCAGCTGAGGGAGGTGCCTGTTGGATTTGCTGGTGGGAGAGCAGTGGGGTTGGCGCAGGTCTCCTCCTCTGCCTCTGTGTCAGCCCACATGCAATGGGAAGGAAGGCTTTGTCTTTACTGGTTTTTTGGCCGTGGGCAAAATTACTGAAAACGAAGGCATTTCACTCTTTCATTTACTCTTCATTTTGTGGCATCCCAGGTGACTGGCACTTTCCCTGGAACTTCAGATGGGTTCTTGTGTCCAGTCGGGGGGACTAAGGAGAATTATAAATTTGCATGATTAGAATGTCTAATTTAGCAACTCATGATTGCTCCTTTCATTTTGCTACAGAAATAAATTTTTATGCACCTGAGAATTTTGATTACATTATTATTAATATTTTTGGGTGGTGTTTGAGTGTATGTTTGAGGAAGATGCTGGAGTTTTATGAAAGAAATGTGTGAAAAAAGCAGTGTCTCATTTAGAATGTTTCCAGAATGAATTGTAATTCCTTTGCCTCAGGAAGTCTTTTTACTAGATATCTAATTTGTGAAATATCCAGAGGGATTCATCATAAGACAACACAGCACCAACCTCAGGATTCAGTAGACTGTTTCTTGTAGAAACAAATGTTTCTAAGTTAAAAACTGGAACACACTAGTGTTCGCCTCATGGCTGAGGGGCTTGAGGTTATTAACATCATAGTAGAGAGTTTCATCTACTTTTCCAGTGATATCACTTGATCTTGCCATTCGCTAGCGATGCTGTAGCTTACGTAGACGCACAGTGACCAGTGCTGGCGGCACAGCAGGAGTCAGCAGTACGTGTGCATGGCCGGGGTTCTCTCCTGACTCACCCAGTGCTGGAGCCCCTGACTGAGCAGCTCTCTTCCCCGGGTGGGCCTGGGACGTGGGGGGCACTCTGGGGTACAGTAGAGACTTCTTGAAATGACAGTTCCTCCTCTCTGAAAACAAATCGTGTAATACACAGACATATGCACACAAAATTTTAATAAAAATAAAAAGCCTAAAATATACTCTAACTCTTCAAACTATGTTTTTATAAAAGATGAGAAGAAGGAGCCCTCTCTGGCTTAGTGCTGACTCGGGACAGAGTCAGTGGCAGATGCGCAGGGGCTTGAGTTCCAGTTTGGGTCGGCTACTAAGATGCTCCACTGACACGAGGTGAGGTTGGCTTGCTTGGCTTGCGCCGCTTCCACAGGGAGAAGGCAGAGCAGTTCAGAAGCGCGCTGGGAAGCACCTGCGGCAAGCCAGTGCCGCCTTCTGCTGCTGAAGAGGGAGATGTGGGAAGAACCATGCTAGCCAACAGCCTAGAACAGTCCTGCTCGAGTCATGGACTGAAGGGGATCTCGAGCTGGGTCGGGTCTGGCCTGCCCCGGTTATATCCATTTCCGTGCTGTTCAGGCTCTGTGCATGCTGCGGGGGCCACATCATGTTTCTGTGAGGCTCGGGGCTCTTTGGTGCCGTGGTGTGACTTGTCATCGGTGGGGGGTGGCTTTGTCTACATAAGGCTGAGGCCTGGGTGACTTGATAGACCAGGGCTTGGCCAAGTGTGGCCATGGGACTTGCCCCCTCGTTTGGTAAATGCTCTGGTCATGTGTCTGTGGCTGTGGTTGGGCCACCAGCGCTGAGCTGAGTAGTTCCCACAGAGACCGGTTGGTCCACAAAACCAAAAATAGTCACTGAGAAAAAGTTGAAGACTGAAAGTATCTGAACTCCATCTTAGTATGAATGAACATTTTCTCTTTCATAATCTACTGGTCCATGTGATGGGGCGCTAGCCTGCCACATATCAGCACAAAGAATTTGCTGGAGGAGAGCAGGGTGGGGCGCCTAGAACTCGGCTTCCCTTTCCGTCTGGCCTCACCCCCGACCCTTCCTGGCACCGCTGTCTCTGCAGTGGAAGCCGGAGAGCAGTTCCTCCTCAGTTTGACTGTTAGGTCTCAGGGGGAAAATTGCCCTCCGACTTTGGAATCTGAGAACTGGTTCCCGGATATTGCAGGAGCCTTGCTGGCTGGCAGCCTCGCTCATCCAGGGCCCGTGCGAACGCCATGGTTGCTCCCTGGCCGCGGCGCAGACTGTCCCCATAGGAGACAGTAGCCAGGGCTACAGCGCAGGCTGTCCCATGCATCGCAGGACTGGGAGGTGATTTGGCCCAGAGGGTCTCCCTGGCACAGCCCGGAGGGGAGGTGGGCTGGAGCCTGCTCGGCCTGGCCTTCTGTCTTCTAGAGGCCGGAGGAGGGAAGCCGCAGAGGGGATGGATTCGAGCCAGGACCTGGTCTTTCAGGGTGTCCTTTCAATCCAATTTTGGACCCTGCCTTCCTGGGCTTTAGGAGCTCGTGAGGTCTGTGGAGTGTAACAAGAACGTCCTGAATCCCTTGAAGAGAAAAGAGAATGGGGCAAGAGGAGAGTGACACCCATTCCTCTTTAAAATGCAGTTTTATGATTCTCTTAGCAGCCCTCCGCCCCTGCCCCCAGAGGACCCAGTGTTCCTGCCTCTAGCACGGCCGTGGACGGGGGAGGTGTGCTGAGCATGGACTACGTGGCCCAGCGCCAGGGCCGTTCGGGGAGCATTGCAGCGGTTAGAGCTGAAGGCTGCAGGCTGCTCCCTCCATTTGGCCATGCCCTTGGGTCCTTCCTCTGAAGACCTGGGCTGCCCCCTGTTGCTCTGGGTTGAAATGAATTCCTGTTTATTTGCGTTTTCTCCATTGTTTCAAGAATGGGTATTCTAAAAGCTAGTATTTGATAATTTGATATTTGAGGGTTTCTGATTTGTTTTTACAGAAATGGATTTGCTGAGTTTAAAAGAAAAGGTATTGCTGTTTCAGGTGACTTAGTGTGATGTAAATATTTCAAACCCAGATTATGTTTGTGGGTTCTTAATCCTAGTAGTGAATTGTTTATGAGCTGTGGAGCATGTTTTGGATTTGTGTGTCTTGGGAGCATGAGGTGTGAGGGGAAGTAATGCTTGTGAGGAGATGGGCCGAACGCAGAGGCTTCTGGAAAAGGCTGCCCGGGGATGGCTGCCGAGGCCACGCCCTGCGGGTCCCAGCCTTGGCCTTCCCGGCTTGGCTGGTGCAGACGTTCTTCCTGTGGTGTCAGTCTACACCTGTGAAGCTCTTTTGCTTCGGCTTGTTTGTAAAGGTTCTGAGTAACGTTTCTCTTTCGTTTCCTCAGCCCCATAAGACAGTGTAGCCTATTCCCGAAGCTGCTTGTCCCCCAGGGTGCCTCACTGTCCTCTCAACACCAGGAACATGGACTTTGAGGCTCATTTATGGAGTGATAGGAGTAAGCTGCCCTAGGCCAGCCAAATTCCTCCTTCGTTCCCAGTGACATCTTGTCGACAAGAAACTGCGCTCAGTGTGAGACTGAGTATGGGTTGTAGACGGATCGCCATGGTTCAACCCAATATCTCCCCGACTGTGATGAAGACTTTGACAGAGCGGGGAGAGTAAGGGTTGGATGGTGTTGAGTTGCCAGAACACTTTGGGAAATGCCAGGTTAAGCAGGAATAGAATTAGGATTCTAGGATTCCGAATGCTTAGGATTCCTGTGTCCACTGAGAATTCCCCAGTGGGACAGTCTTCAGGATTTCCCCAAAGTTATGTGATCAAGGCCCTACACCCCATTTTTTCTTTCTGCAGGTTGCAGTCCTCAGGGCCTGGGAGGCCCTCCCTTGAACCCCTGCACTCCTGCATGTGGGCTTCCCGGGCCCCTCCCAACGCCCTCTCCTCCCCTCTCCTCCCCTGCTGCCTCCCATTCCAGCAGCCCTTCTAGGTCCCACCTCCCTGAGTGCTCAGCCCTGCCCCCACCCCAGCTGTTGCTGCTGACGGGAAAGGGGTTTCTCCGTTTGCTTGAGGTGAGTGGGATTCGTCCTCACCCCCAGACAGCCTCATTTCCACCTGGAGATGCATGTGTACCTGGTATATGTCTGTTGGGAGGCCTTAGGCATTTTTTTCTCTCCCATTTTAACCCCCTCAGGGAATTATGAAGCTCCTGGCCTGGGAATTTGTAATAAAGAGGGCACAGCTGAGCTCCCCAAGTAGACAGCAGCTCCCCCAGAGGCCACATGCTGGGACAGCCGCTCTCGCTTTTCCACAGCTCTGCCAGCCATGGTGGGGAACGTACCTGTACCCTAAGATTTCTTCAGTGTTGGACTGTTACTGTGTTTCCTGAAATAGAGAAAGGTGTGGTTTATGAAAAAGAAGGTGTACCTGGAACCCGGGCTGCCTGCTGGCGTCCTGTTTTTGGCTCACATGTGCTCCATTTTGGGGAACACCGTCAGTGAGACACTGATGCAGGGATTAGCAGTTTGGTCTGTGTGCACCCCCTTGGCTGGCTGTGAGTCATGAGGAGGGAAAGCAGGGTGTAGAAGAAGGAAAGTGGAGGACACAGGTACACTGCTTGGTCAAGCAGGTGTTGAATTGCATTCCCTGACAGTAATGCAAGCCCTAGGGGGTGTGGCTACTGATGGGTCTGCAGAGTGGCTGGGGTGAGGGCTCTGCTGTTGGAAAGGCACCTAACGCATTCATGCAGCACATTATGTAATTCCTGTGACTCCCTTGAGCCCTTTGGAGAAAGAACCTGGCTGTGAGTGAATAAAAAGTAGAGATTTACTATATCTATAGTTACATACTTGCGTCTGTCAGTAATGTTCCATGCTTCCGTTCTAGTACTGGAGTGATCCCCAATACCCACTGTGTGACCCCCCAGCACCCACTATGATCCCCTCCCAACACCCACCATGTGACCCCCCCAGCACCCACCATGTGATCCCCTCCCAGCACCCACTGTGTGACCCCTCCCGCAGATCTCCCCAGCACCCACCATGTAATCCCCCCAGCACCCATGTGATCTCCCCCCCAGCACCCACGGTGTGACCCCCCAACACCCACGATGTGACCCCCCAGTGCCCATATGATCCCCTCCCAGCACCCACTGTGTGACCCCTCCCGCACCCACTGTGTGATCTCCCCAACACCCACCATGTAATCTCCCCCCAGCACCCACCGTGTGACCCCCCCAGCACCCACCATGCGATCCCCTCCCAGCACTCACCATGTAAACCCCCCAGCACCTACCATGTGACTCCCCCAGCACCCACTGTGTGATCTCCCCAGCACCCACCATGTGATCTCCCCCCAGCACCCACCGTGTGACCCCGCAACACTCTCTGTGTGATCTCCCCAGCCCCACCGTGTGACCCCCCAGCACCCACTGTGTGAACCCCTAGCACCCACCATGTGATCTCCCCCAGCACGCTGTGTGACCCCCCCAGCACCTACTATGTGAACCCCCTGACACCCACCATGTGATCCCCCAGCACCCACAGTGTGTGATCTTCCCCAGCGCCCACCATGTGATCTGCCCCCAGCACCCACCATGTGATCTCCCTCGGCACCCACTATGCCCAGCTCTACTGATCTGTACGTGTTCATATGTACACGTATGTGCACACAGTTTCTAAGTGGAGCCCTGCTGTGCGGGGCTGCACGTTTAGACAGGACAGCCTGGCTTGGCCTACAGGACTGTGGCGCCCCCCAGTGTTCAGTCCCCAGGGTCACGCTTGCCCCGTTACCCTGTGAACTACAGGCAGGACACAGTGTGGGCCTCCTCCCTGAGATGGCACCTGTTTGGGGTTTTCTTGATGCTTGTGCTTTCACAGCTCTCTTTGAAGCAGATGTCCTGGTGCACTTTGTAGACTCTCTTGTACCTGTGTCACAAGAAAGTTGTGTAAAGCCAGAAACTAGAGCAGAATGTTGCCCAGCTGCTTCAGCTAGGCTACGTGCACCCACAGGTCACTGTGCAGGTGTTTGAGGTAAAGGCCATTATTTTCTTAATAAAACTTTACCTCATAGGGATGTGTTAAAATGTCCAACATAAAAGTTCTATAATTTAAAAAAAATAACTTAGGTATGATTTACATAAGATACATCCATTTTAAATGTACGTTTTGAGGAGTGTGGACAAAATATTGTGATATTAAGAGATAAAATAAGAAATTTCAAGGACATGTTCTGCTTGAGGCAGTCTGGTCGGTGCTGGACTTGAGACAGTACAAGCTCACTCCTGGGTCCTATGAGTAGTTCTTAGAGAAGTTTGAGAGCCCTGGAGATGCAGGTATTCAATGTGGGCAGTGTTGGCTTCTAGCCCTGCCTCCCACTTATTAACTAGTCCACTTTGAGCATGTCTCTGGAGCTTAGACCTCAGTTTTGTGTGCAATGGGAGTTACTCATACTACTTCTCACAAATTTGTAGATGGTAATGGAATAGGAAAGTGTTTTTGTTCTTGTTAAAGCTCTCAAATGTCAGAGCTGTTGAAAAGAGAGATCCAGGGAGTTTGATGGGCAAAGCTCCAACTCATGCTCAGTGTGGGAGAGCCCTTGGGATGTAAGCCTTTGGTGAGACTTCCACTTTTGGCCATCAGGGAGTAACTGGATTTGGAATTAACCCCCAATATGAACAACCAGAGAATTGGACAAAATATGAAAAGCAGTTCTTTTCAGATGTTAGAAAGCAGTGCAAGACTGTGATTCTTGAGAGAAAGGAAACATGAAATGAGCTCTGTGATCTCCCTAGAATTCGGTCCCGAAGCACTTTTTGGATTACATTGCAGGGTGGTGGTGGGGGGAGGGGTGGGGTAGAAGCCAAGCTGGGGTCACACTGAATTGAGGAGGCAGAGGCAGCTGGAGTCTGTGGGGCGCTGGGGAGGAGGGAGCTATGCACAGGAACAGCTCCTGAGGCTGGGACAGGGATTCCCCTGGAGATGAAGCTGTGCGTGCATAGGTAGAACCCTGTGAGGCTGGGCAAGGAGAACTACCGAGGAGCTGAGCAGCAGAGCTACTGCAGTGCATTCGTAAAACAGAAACTCCAGGAAGGCCATGGCTTAGAAGTAGGGCAAAATTAACCCAGAATAAAGGTTAAACCACCGTAAAAGAGGCTTCCAAAGGCTCAGACTAAAATTAACCGCCTTGTAGACAAAACTAAACATTCTGGGAAATAAACACAAAACTTAGCATTCAGGACCCAAAGGTTAAAATGTCCAGCATCCAACAACAACAAAAAAAAGACAAGATATTCAAAGGTTCATACAAAGCATCAAGAAAATGTGACCCATAAGCAGCCAACAATAATTGAGTAGAAAGACACCCAGAGGTGAGAGCAATGGCGGGAACAGCAGACAAGACCCTTAAAACGTGCTACAAATTTGCTCCCACCTGTTCAGTGATGAGAAGAGAAACAGAGGGTCCAAGAAAGAACTAGATGGGATTTCTAGAGATGAGAGGAACCAGAGTGTGAAGTGAAGGTCTCGCTGAATGGGCTGAGTGGCAGGTTCTAACGACAGTGCCGAGGACAGACCATGGAATGCAGAGGCCCAGCTGTGGAATCAAGGCACAGTGAAGTAGAAGGACGGTGTCAGTCTGACACCTGTGTGACTGGAGTTGCAGGAGAGGAGAGAAGCAGATGGACGGGAAAAACACCTGAAGAACTAATGGCCCCCATTTTCCAGATTTGGTGAAAGCCAAGACCCCAGAGATAGAAGCTTAACAAGCTCTTGTGAGCAGACACACACGGCCGCGGCACGGCACACCACAGTTAGTTTCCCAACAACAGTAGTGAAGGGGGGATGCCAGAGCAGTCGTGGGGCCAGGCGCGCGCTCGTAGCTGAGAGTGAGCACAGCCACGCCGAGTCAGAAGCCCCGGAACGGCCACGCTCGGGCGAAGAACACAGTTGCCAGCCAGGAAGTCTATGTTTGGCAAACAGATCCTCCAGAAATGAAGGTGAAATAGAACCCTTTACACACAGACCAAAGCAGAGAGGATTCATCACCAGCAGACCCGCGCTACATGAAATGTCACAGTGAATTCTGGGGGCAAAGGCCAGTGGCACCCGAGGGCATCTCAGGTCTCAAGGAATACCAGGTGCCGGGAATGGCAGACACGGAAGGAAGAACAAAAGACGTTCGACTCTCAGCAGTTTTTACAAGGATAGTTGTCTTTGGGGTCAAACATACCATACTGTGTGGGTCACGGACTGTGTGCGAGTAGCGCGTCCGGCTTGGAGAGCTGGGAGTGCGAGGGGAAATGGAGCCCACTGCTGCAGGGGCCCTTCCGCGACACTGAGGTGGGAGAGCACAGCCAGCGGGTATGGGGCTTGCAGGGGCATATTGCAAACCCACAGCAGCTACTAGAGGCTTAGACCAGACAGGTGTAACCGGGGAACCAACAGCGCTGGCAAGTTAGAAGCCTAAGGAACAATTAATCCCAAAGTAGGCAGGAAAAGAGAAAAAAAGGAAAAATGATCAGATGGGACACATAGAAAGCACACAGCAAAATGGTGCATTTAAACCCAATCACATCAGTCATTACAGTAACGTGTAAATGATATAGACACTCCAGTAAAAACTGGAGATGTCCGATGTAAAGCCGAATACAAGAACGTGATGTTCAGACGCATATGGGTTAGAGTGAAAGTATGGGAAGCTGTTGATGGGTCCGGGGCTCTTGTGGGGCTACTTGGTGGTCCTAGCAGGTCACTAGCAGGTACTGGGGTCACTGGTACAGTTGGAACGGCGGGGGGGCACTGCGGATGAGGGCTGCCATTCCACAGAACCCAGATTCAGATGGTCTGTACACATGGATCCTCAGGGCCCAGTGCAGATCAGGAGGCCCTGTGTTTTCCTGCTCTGGGGTTAAGTCGGGCTTCATGTCCAAGTTCAAATCAAGCCTTCTGCATGGCTTTCCTGCATCCCACCCAGAGTGACCTTCAGACACGTAATCGAACAGTTCATTCCTCGGCTTGGCATCCTCAGCAGCTCCCCATTTCAAAAAAACACACTCCAGAGTCCTTCCAAGGGCCTCCAGAGCCCTGCTGGATTCCCCCTGCCCTGCCCGACCACCGCTCCCCCTTGCTCCCCTCCAGCCACAACTTGCTGCTCCTCAGACAAGCAGACATGCTCCTGATTTCGGGCCTTGGCAACTGATAATTTGACTTTCTGGAATGTTCTTCCTTCAGATATCCCTCACCCCCCTCCATGTCTGTTCAATGTCATGTTTCCGTGAGGCTTCCCTTGACACTCTGTTTAATGCTGCAGCCGGCCCCTCCCTGTCCCCAACCCTGGCTCTCCTGGGCCCAACTCTTCATCTCTTCCTTTTCCCCAGCCCTGACCACCTTCTAGAACACTACATAACATCCTCCTGCTCCTTGTGCACGGCTTCCCTTGTCTGGAATGTGACGATCGCGAGGGCAGGGCTTGGGCGGGTTCTGTTCACTGGCATGTGCTGAGTGTCTCGAGCTGTGCCTGGCACACAGTAGGTGCTTTTAAGAATTTGCTGACTGAATAGATTGTAAGTGTGAACCACAGTCACAGAGTGTTAGCAAGAAAGGTCCTATGAGGTGAGCCAGGCAAGCTCTCCCTCTACAGCCCATTTTACAGATGGGGAGACAGGCACGAATGTCCTGACTTCACGGCAGGGGGGAGACTCGAGTTCCCCCGTGCTGCTGTTGATCTTTCCAGGGGGCTCTGAGGCAGAGAGGATAGGAATGTCATCTCCTGGCATCGATGTACCCATGGCCCTGCCATCCAATGGCGAGGGACTGATGCCACTCGAGGGAAAGGCAGGCCCCAGGGCTCAGGAGCTGGAAGACTGTCATTCCCTGCACAGGCTCAGTGCCTCCGGATTCGCCACGTGGAGGGAATGGGTGCAAACCCCCGTGCGACCCTGACCCCTAGAGCTCCTCAGGGCTTATGAGCGTGGGTGAGCTGGACTTTGTGAAGGCACTTCTGGAAGTCAGGAACTTTCCACAAATGTGGTGAAAGCAGGAAAGAAACTTACATGTGGTGACAGGCGCCTCCTTCCCAGACCGGCACGGCCTTTGTCTCTGAGAAGAGCCGAGTGCAGGGCTGGGGCACCTTTTTACAGGCTGCCGGCACAAAGGAAAAGGGGCTTACAGGGGCGCCATGCTGAGGAAGCGCTCTTCCTGCACCCTGGGACGGCGCCTTTCCTGCAACCTCGGGGGCTGCTTGAGTCCCGGAAGCCCCCAGGCTGCTTTCCCTTAGGGCTGGCGGGAGTCTCTGACAGGCGTCAGGAGGTGCAGCTGGGGTGGGGGCTCCTGTCCACCCACTTCCCATCTTCAGTCCCACATTCTTCTTAGGGAGGGAGGCCTGTGACTGCCCTCTTACCACCACGTCTGGCCCCTGAACCAAAGAGCCCCCTGTACCCACCTCTGGCTCTGGGGCGCTCCATGTCCTTTGCTTTCTGGCTGCCCCCAGACCCCCCCCCCCCACTTGTCTGGGCAGCACTGTTCACCCTGGCGCTTCGGGGCAGTGAGAGGCTCAGTGGCTCACTGCCTCTCAGTATCCCTACGTGGGCACTCGGAAGTCTGGGGCACTGAGGCTGGGTCCCTGTCCTGGCACCTCGAGGTTTGAGGTCCTTGTGGCAAAGCCACCCTGGGCCCAGTGGGCCCAGAATAGCCTGCTGTGACAAGTGTCTTGAAGCCCTGATGGTCCCCACGGGAGGGAGTGGTCCCCGACTCACCGAGCTCACAGCGTCTGCCTTTGAATCCCGGGTTGCAGTCACAGCTGTGGGCGTCCACACCTGGCACGCAGGTGCCTCCGTTCTGACAGGGGTTTTCTGAACAGTTCCCAGGGGTGTCTGCGGACAGGCCATGAACAGTTAGTTGCCAGGACCGCAGAAGAAGGCCTGTCAACATTTCTATTTCTCTGTGCCCCTCTCCTTCTCTTGTTAAAGAATTTCAAAGCAGTTCACAGAAACCATTTCACCTTTAAATACAGCAAGTGTGTAATATGTACAGACTTTACAAACTTTTATATAAGCACAATGCTGTTACCGGGAAATCAGCAGTAGCTCCTTAGTACCCTAAGAATTTGCAGTCCTTGTTCAGGTTTCCCCAGTCATCTTAAAACCTCATTTCCAGCTGGTCTGATCTCATTAGGATTCATAAGGACACACTGCTGTAGTTTGATGTGTTTCTTAATCTTTAACTTTTTATCTTCCTCCCCTCTGCATTTATTTTTTTTCCCCTCTGCATTTATTAGAGAAACCAGGTCATTTGTCCTGTAGAATGCCCCTCCTGGATTTTACTTTATGCTTTCGTGTGGCATTAACTCATCCCCCATCGCCACATTTCCTGTAAACTGATAATCAGAGAGAGGGGCTTGATAGGATTCAGGTTCAAGCGGTCTTTGCAGGACTGCTTCACCCTTCACCCACTCCAGGAGGTGTGACAGGTCTCCAGTTCCAGCTTTAGTGATGTGAGGACTGATCACGGGTTCAGCATTGGTAGCTTGATTAATCCAGGAGAAAATTCTGATGGGCTCTGCACCAGACGGCTCGAGTGGCCATGGAGGTCTTGAGTCTAGGTCGCAGATCCGTCATCTCACGAGGGCCACATCTAACCCAGCCTGTCACTCTTCTGTCTCTCTAGCCAGAAAGTCTTCTATGAAGACCTGTTTTCCCTTGCCCACCACCTGGTCACCCTGAATTATAGTCCATCCAGGCGAGGCCAGACAAATGCTTCATTCCTGTCCTTGATTTGTACACTTGCAAAGTAAGTGTTGGTCCCCAGCCCGCTCTAGGGACCAGCACATTGTGCTTTCTTTCAGCGTCATCATGAACTCATAGATTCTTATGTATTTGAAGAGGGTCAGTCTGCTGCTGCCATTAGTCTTTTCGACGCCCCAGTCATTCATCCTCAGCCTGTGGGAGCCATCCAGGTTGACTCCTGTGCCCTTTAGACACAATCCCAGTTGTTTTTGAAAAGTTTGCTTGTTTTACAAGTACGTCCTGGGCACATTTTGTCCATATTCTTCTTCAGGCTTGGAATCAGCCACTTCTCAAATACCCCTGGTTCCTTTTATTGGGCACCTAGAGCCCACAGTCTGGGTGGCCAAGGTGCTCACTGCTCCTGGGGTGTCAGTGCTTGAGGCCTTTTCAGTAGACAGAACTAGGAACTTAGATTTAAAAATAAAAATAAATTGTTCGCTTATATCAATAGTTAAGGGAGGGGCGCCTGGGTGGCTCAGTAGGTTGGGTGGCTGCCTTCAGCTCGGGTCATGATCCCGGGGTCCTGGGATCGAGCCCTGCCTTGGGCTCCCTGCTCAGCGAGAGCCTGCTTCTCCCTCTCCCTCTGCCTCTGCCTGCCGCTCTGTCTACTTGTGCTCTCTCTCTGTCAGGTAAATAAATAAAATATTTAAAAAGAAATAGTTAAGGGAAACACAGGACTTTTACTTAACTTCCTTGATTTTTAAAAAATTTTTTTAATTTTTTGGGGGGTTTCCTGTTTTTATTTAAATTCAATTAATTAACATATAGTGTATTATTAGTTTCAGAGGTAGAGGTCAGTGAGTCATCAGTTGCATAGAACACCCAGTGCTCATTCCATCATGTGTCTTCCTTCATGCCCATCACCGTTACCCCAGCCCCTCCCCGAACAACCCTCAGTTTCTTTCCTATGCTTAAGAGTCTCTTATGGTTTGTCTCTCTGATTTCATCTTGTTTTATTCTTCCCAGGTTTGTTTTTTTTCCTAACTGGAATCATACTGTATGTATTGTTTTTTGATGTGCTTGTTGGAGATGTTCTCAGCCTTGCACACTCTTTTTATCCATTCTATATTCCACAGAAATAGTGTCACTGCTTGGGTTGCTTCATTCTGCTGTTATAATTATGCCCACTTTTGTGCACAAACTTAAACACAGGGGCTGGAATTTGAGGGAAAGAGTGTCAGTTTGAGCCATTGGTAACCTGAGGTGGAGGTGTGTTGACTTGGCATTGAGCAGGTGGCAGGCAGTGCATGCTGACTTGGGCAGGAGGGCGGCGGGACTGTGAATTTGGGACCCCCTGGCCTATGGCATTGTGTATGACGGGGACGTGGCTGGTTTTGCTCCTGGTCATGAATTCCCTTAACTTTTGTTTTTCTGGGAAACTCTCTCTCTCCTTCTGTTCTGAATGAAAGCCTTGCTGGATAGAGTATTCTTGGCTGTAGATTTTTTTGTTTTGGCAGTTGGAATTTATCATGCTGTTTCCTTCTGGCCTGCAGTTTCTGCTGAAAAATCCACCAATAGCCATTTGGGGTTTCCCTTGTATGTCACTGCTTTCCTTTCTCTTGCTGCTTTTAAAATTCTCTCTCTCTCACTACTTTCGGCCATCTTATTTACTTTGTGTCTTGGTGCAGACCTCTTTGGGTTGGTTGTATTGGGGGCTCTCTGTGCCTCCTGGATCTGGATTTCTTTCCTTCCCCAGATTCAAGAAGTTTTCATCTATTATTTCTTCAGACAAATCTTCTGCCCCCTTTTCTCGCTCTCCTCCTTCTGGGATCCCTATCATGCGACCGTTATGCTTGACAGTGTCGCTCAGTTCCCCGGGTCTCTTCTCTTTTGTGTATTTCTTTTCCCTCTCATCTGCTCGGCTTGATTACTTTCCATGACTCTGTCCTCCAGGCGGCTGATCCGTTCTTCTGCTTCCTCTTGCTTGCTATTTATTCCAGGTGGTCTATTTTTATTTCTATTTAGTGAGTCCAGTAGCTCTAATTGGTTCTTTTTTTCGTCTCCTATCTCTTGGTGGAGGGTCTCATGGAGGTCCTGCACTCCTTTCTCAATTCTAGCAAGTATCTTTATGAGCATTACTTTAAATTTGCTATCAGACATATTACTTATCTCCATTTCACTTAAGTCTCCTGCTCTTATTTTGTTCCACTTTTTTATTTGGGACATATTCCTCTGTCTCCTCATTCTGTCTCTTGCGTTGTCTGTTTCTCTGTGTTAGGAAAGTCAGCTATGTCTCCTGCACTTGAAAGTAGTGGCTTTATGAAGAAGAGATTCTGCAGCGCAATGTCTCCTTTTCACCAGAAAATGGTACCTCGGGGTGTCTCCTATGTGTGTTGCTCCAGGGGTGTCCTACCATTGTGGCTGGGACGTGTTTGCCTTCAGTCCAGCCTGCTATGACTCTGCATGTTGAAGGCAGAGTCTGGTGCCCGTGGTGTTACTGGGCCTGTCCGGGGCTGTCTTGGGCTTGAGTTGAGTCATACTAGGTGTTTGCCAGAGATGCAGTAGCACCAAACTGCAGGCACTTTCCCTGTGTCGTCCCCGGAGAAGCTTTTGTTGGTGGGTGGGGCCTGCAGTCAGACCAGCTGCCTGCCCCCAGCCCACTGCTGGGGTCACAGTCAGACGGGTGTGTGGTTATCGTCCCCTCTCCCTGGGGCAGGACTCACTTTGGAGTGGTGCTGACCTTGTCTGCGCTGCGCACACACTGCCAGGCTCGTGGCACCGCCTTGACGGGATCTTGCCGAGAGTGATCGGAGGGGGCGGATCCTCTTCTTTGTGGCCTCTTGTCTGTGCCAGGCTGTGGAGTCTGTTCTGCCAGTTTTTGGGCTGCTTTCTGGGTTATTTATGCCAACATGGGTGCTGTCTAGGCGGCCACGTGGCAAGAGGTGAGCCCAGGGTCACCCTACTCTGCCATCTTCCCAGCAGCCTCTCAAAAATTTTTAATTTTTTAAAAAGATTTTATTTGAGAGAGAGAGAATGAGTGGCGTGGGGAAAGGGCAGAGTGACAAGCAGACTCCCTGCTCAGCGGGCAGCCCCACTCAGGGCCTGATTTCCAGGACCCTGAGATCATGACCTGAGCTGAAGTCAGATGCTCAACTGAATGAGCCTCCCAGGCGCCCCTTAACTTCCTTGATTTTATGTTGTATCTCTTTACACTGAAAATCTTGGTGACATTGATATAATTATTTTCATTATCCCACAATGTACATGTAACAGTTCTAAAAAAAATATTACCAGTACTAGCATTAAGAGCTTTGAGTGCCACTTTAAATTTCTTGGAGTTCTTCTTGTAATAAGAATTCTTCTTCTTAGAATATATCCCTCTAGGAATGAATAGTCAGAAAGCTGTTTTTAAAATTACTTGAAATACCTTTTTCCTGTGTGGTTATGCCATCAACATGATAAAGGGGTTTATTTCAGTTTGCTTTCAGTGTTTAGGTCTTGCTTTTTATGTGTGTCATTAAAATTTTTTTTTCTTGGTTCTAAAATGTAAGCTATACAGATCCATTCGGAGAAGTCTAGCATCCATCTCCATACTTTTACTTCCTTGTTCTTTCCTTCCTCATATAACCATTTTATTAGTTTTATTTCTTTTTAAATATAAGAAAATAGGTATATTCATATTTCCCTTCTCACTTTCCTACACAAAGGGGATACCCTAGACACTGTTCTGTACATTACATTTTAAAAACCGCTTTATTGAGATATAATATACATACCATATAATTCACCCATTTTAAGTTTTTAGCATATTCAAAGATATGTACATCCATCGCAGTAGTCAGTTTTGGAATGTTTTTATCATTTTCCCTTTAGCTGTCACCCCCCATACCTCTACCCCTACCCTCAGTCCCAAGGAACCACTGGTCTACTTTCTGTCACTGTAGATTTCCCTATTCTGGACTCCTATGAATGGAATAATATTATATGGGAGTCCTTTGTGACTAGCTTCTTTTACTTAGTATGATGTTTTCAAGGTTCATCTTGTAGCTTGTGTCAGGACTTCATATGGTTGGATAATATCCATCGTGTGGATAGATCACATTTTGTTTATCCATTCTTCAGCCAGTGGACATTTTGGTTGTTTCCATCTTTTGGCAATGGTGCATAATGCTATTACCAACATTCATGTACAAGACCCTGTGTGGGCATCTGTTTTCATTTCTCTTGGATATATACCTAAGAGTGGGATTTTCTGGGTCATATAGCTCTGTGTTTAATTCTTTGAGGAACTACCAGACTGTTTTTTACCCCAGAGCAGCTGTACCACTCTGCATTCCCACCAGCAGTGTTTGAGGTCCAGCTTCTTCACATCCTCACTGTGCTCGTTGCATCTCTTCATTCCAGCCATCCTAGTGACTATGAAGTGGCGTCTCATTGTGGCCTTGATTAGCATTTCCCCGATGACTGATGATGTCAGTCATCTTTTTCATGGGCTTGTTGGCCATTTGTGTATCTTCGTTGGAGAAATAAGTGTTCAGATCCTTTGCCTATTTCTTAATTGGATTATTTCCTTTTATTCAGTCATATGAGTTCCTTATATATTTTAGATACAGATGTCTTTCAGGTATATGATTTGCAAATATTTTCTGTCATTCTGTGAGTTGCCTTCTCACTCCTTGATGGCATCCTTTGAAGCACAAAAAGCTTTACATTTTGAGGGAGTCCAGTCTGTCTTTTGTTTGTCTTTTGTTGCTCACGCTTTTGGTGTCATATCTAAAATCTTTTGCCAAATCCAAGGTCATGAAGATTTACGTCTGTTTTTTTCTAAGAGTTTTACAGTTTTAATTCTTAGGTTTAGGTATTTGATCTATTTTTAGTTAATTTTGTATGTAATGTGAGGTAGGGGTCTGACTTCATTCTTTTGCATGTGGATATCCAGTGTTCCCAGCACCACTGGTTGAAGACTGTTCCTTCCTCCATTGAATGGTCTTAGCCCCTTGTTGAAATCAGTTGACCACAGATGTATGGGTTTATTTTTTGACTCTCAATTCTATTCCATTTATCGTAAGTCTTTGTGCCAGTATCTCACTGACCTGATTACCATTGCTTTGTAGTAAGTTTGAGAATGAGTGTCAAATAGGACATGAAATTTAGACACTATAAACAATTGTCCGGAGGTATTTTATGACAACCTTACAGGACATGGCAGTGTGCAGGGGTACTTAGAACCTGTGAGCCTGTGCCAATAGTCCTCACTCTTTGTAACTGGGGCACCAGGCTGCAGAGCCTGACTGATAATTAGTTCCATTCCTGGGCAGCTAAGGCCTGAAACCTGCAGTTTCTGAAGCAGTGGGGTTTCTACCAGGGCACTGCCCACTATAGCCTCATCCTGTGAAGTCAGCCCCCCTGAATCCTGAGTTTATCATGACACATATACCCATTAAAGTAAAAAACCCAAGAAAACAAAAAAACAAGCCCAGAGAGATGGCTGATTTGAATAGGGTGGGGGCAGGGGTAGGACTGCAGTCTGGGTGGTGGCAGCGGATGGCTCCTATGTGACAATAAGTTACTGAGTACAGAGACTTAAGCTCTGCCCTTGCCTGCTATCACCCAAGGATGGAAACTGCCTGCCTTTCTCCGGTGTCCAGGGATAAAACCAGGAGAGTTCCAAAGCCCCGATGGGGTGAGAATTTGGGGAAAACAGAAAGAATTCTTTGACAGCCTCAGTGTCCACTCCAGATCCCCATGGTGGCAGGTTACAATCTTGGGACCCTCCTCCATGAGCTTCCCCTAGGAGCTCGAAGGTGTGGCCCTAACCTGGAGAATTGCTTGATGAGGAAATGCCAGTCAAGAGTGTTAATTGTGCTCATTGGGTGTCTAGGGCTCTCTGGAGATCCTTCTTTCTGTGAGAAAGAAAAGTCTAACAGCTTCCAGAGAAAATGAGCAGATAACCTACAAGGAAACAAGAGCAAGACTGACACCCATGGACAGCAGCACTGGACAGAAGATGACAGGGGAAGTGTTTGAAGAACTGAAGGTAGAGGACCTCTGAACCTCGAATTTTATACCCACTCCAATTGCCCTTCAAATAGGAGAGCTACTAAGAGCATTTTCAGGCATATAGGGCCTCAAACACTTGGCCAGGTAGAGTACAAACAAGTACTTTGATGGGACTCGACAAGCTGATTGTAAACTTTTATAGAAATGCAAAGGACCAAGAGCAGGCAACACTGAGGTCAAAGTGAGCAGGTGGGCACTGCGGGACAGCAAGCCTCACCAAAGATAGTGCCGTTGAAACCCCTGGTGTTGGCTCCAGGAAGTCCAAACAGTGCAACAGAGCAGTGGACCCAGAGCCTTTGGTAAATTCCAATGAAAAGATGCTTGACCATATCAGCATCCAAAAGACACAAATCCAGATCCCAAGGGACACACTTCACACCCATGCTGCTGGCAGGATCTGGAAACCCGGCAAGATCAGGTCTGGAGAGACTGGATTAACCACATCTCTTGATCACAGCTGGAGGGACCGTAAACTGATGTCCTCACTTAGAAAACAACTTAGCGTTCTCTTGTGATTTGGGCTTTCAGGCATCCCAAGCCCTAGCATTTGTATTCTCGCACATGTGCCAGAAGACGTATGTAAGAAGAGCAGAGCGGTCCTGCTGAGGGCCCGGGGGCCCGCTGAGCCGAGCCGATGAGGCTGGGGTGAAGTCACCGGCGGACCAGATGCTCAGTAGTGAGTGAGTGAGCTGTGGCCGCACGCAGCAGCACTGACCAGCTCACTGCAGACGCGGGTGAGGACACATTGGGGAGGCTGTGCACAGCCAGACACTCACCTTGAAACAAACCTACAGCTGTTCAGGCACACGTGCATATGTAGTGAGAGCCCTTCTCCCCTCCGCCCACCTTGCAGCAGAGCAAAGGGACTGTAAACACAAAATCCAGGCTTGAGGTTCACGGGGGGACAGCAGCAAGATATGAGTTCCTATTCATGTTCTAGTTCATGGGTCCGGTTCCAGATCTAAGGCCGTCATCTTAGCAAAGGCTAACTTACTAAACTAAACAAAAGGGGCTGTCATGGACCCATACTAGATGTAACAGGAACGAAAAACCATGATTCACTGGGCACACCTGGGGGCTGTTAATGATTTTTTTTCCCCTATTTATCACCTAAAATCACTTTTGCCCCTCCCCTGGCCAGCCTGCATCCCTCACGTTTGCAAACACTGCAGACTGCAGGGACATCTGGGACCAGTCTGGTGCCACCTTGCATCTCTCCCTCAGAAGGGACCCAGGAGAGGTCATTCACATCCCACTAGTTCCTGAGTTTTATGAAATGAAACGTCTAATATTGGGAAGGGCTAACATAACACAAACCGTCTGATGAAATGTGTGCTTATTTCACTTACGAAGCAACAGCGACATGCGTGTCTTTACTCTGAACCCCACCTTAACTAAGAGAATCATTCACTGGCTGCGTCGACTCACAGACCAGCCCTCCTGCTGCTCACCAGGGCCGACTCCAGCTTCAGGCCTCACACCCGGAGGGGGGCCTGCTGGGCTGCAGCTTTATTTGCCGCCATGCCCTCTGATGCAGGTGCTCTTGATGCACCCCTCCTTGGGCAGTCTGGGGCAGGTCTGCAGGTGAGATGCGCCTTCAGAGGGGGCATCCTGGGCACTTGGCTCACCCTTAGCGAGTACCCTGCCTTCCTCGGGGTCTGGTTGATGCAGGAGCACAGTCTGAACCACTGGGTCCTAGAAGAACTGTCCCTGGAGGGACAGAGCCCCAAGGGTTAGAGCGAGGAGGGAAGGTAGAGCCAGAATCTGAGTTGGTGTAAGGAACATGTGCCAAAAGTGAAATGCCCTGTAAGAATGTCCTGTAGAAGTGTCTCTGCACTGTCTCACCAGACAGGCCCTGTGCTCTGTGTGGTCAGCAAGGCCCTGCTGGCCCCTTGCACCGAGCACGGGTGGTGGCCTGCCCGGCAATCCTCCATGTGGAGCATGCTCAGCAGCTGCCCCTCCATGACCGCTGCGTCCTGCTCAACATCTCTGTGGAGAGGCGAGGGGTGAGCTCAGCTTTACGTGGAGGGAAGGAGGGGCTGTCTGCAATGGAGGGCCAGTCCCTCGGGGGCAGACCTGGGTAGTTTGGGAGGGTCTGCTCTCCAGGCTTGTTCCTTGTCTGTAAAAGTGTGGTGTGGTTCACCCCACCCTTTCCAGGACGGTGTGCTTGGCTGCGCCTTGGGCGGTGCTGAGTCTCCCACTTCTTCACTATGGGTGCCCCCCCCGCCATGGTCCTCAAGGCCCCCTAGGATGTTCAGTGCTGCAAGTCCATGCCTGCTGACTTACTTTCCATGTCCTTGTCACTGCCATGTTCAGGAAGCTGGAGGGCCAGGCTGACCTGCTCAGGCACCTGCTTGGGGGTCTCCTCCGTGTTCTCAAGCTGCACTGGAGCTGTGGGTTCTAGGAGAAATCAGAATGTCCCAGCATGCTGGCCCCGTAGCCTTCTGCCTCATGCCCAGGATTGTTTCTGGGCCACCTTCTTGAGCTGCTTCTCTCTCTCATGGTATAGAGATTGCCGTGGTGAGGGCTCGGTGTGGCCCATTCATCTGCTGGCCATCCCCACCACTGGGGCACAGAGTCCCCTGGGCCCCACAGCTGCCTCCAGTAGGACAGCTTTTCTCCAGGTGGGGGCCAGCCCTCACCCTCCTGCTGAAGCTCAGTGCTGCTTTAGTGAAGGTCACCAGTGGCCCGAGACTGGGCCAAATGTCCTATCTGACCCAGTGGCCCCATCCTTCTAGGTGGCTGATGCTGTGCTGTCCTTCTTATGGTCAAATTCCGCTCTCCTCTCCCTCCACCCCTGCTTCTTGGGGGCTGTGGTGCCTCCTCCCCCTACATCTACCCTCAGGCAGACCTTGCACTTGGCCAACCCTATATGCAAGTTAGCTTCTCTGCGGGGTCCCTGCCTGTGCGCTTCGGCTTTTTATGACTGCTTCTGTGGCTTTAGGAGGGTGTCTGGGTCACAGCCCAGCCCGCCCAGCTTCCCAGACACCTCTTCCTGGTCATCATGTCCAGTGAGCCCTTCTGCTGCTCCTCCTCTGGTCGCCGGGGCTGCAACGCCCCCACCTGCTCATCGCTGTCCCTTTTCTTCCCTGGCCTGGGAATGTTTGTGCTGGTTGAAAATTTTCACTAAACTGGTAGTTAGGTTCTGTGCCAGGGAATTCCATGAGAACAGGACCTGATTTACAGGTGAGGACGAGGCCTGGCTGCCCTGCCTGGGGTCCTGAGGGCCTTCGGCAAGGGCGGTGGGGGGAGGTGGCCAGTGGGCATGTTGCTCGTGGCCTGCTGTGCCACAGTCTTGGGCAAGACCTGCTGCAGACAGATGCCTGGCCCACCCCCTCCTGCTAAGCCTTGTGGGAAAGGGCCAGCCCATCTGGACCCATTGCCCATGCCCTGTGCTGCTGGGGCCAGGCCGAACAGCCCACTGCTCTGCCACACGTGGTCCTGCTGGCCCAGGCTGAGCAGGATCTGAACCCGGGACACGGTCTCTTACTGTGACGGAGAGGTGCAGTCCGCAGACTGTGATGTGCATGCCAATCACCTGGCTCCTTATTAAAGACCGATTCCAACTGCACAGCTCTGGGTGGGATCCTGCCCGTCTAGAGGCCCCAGGCGAGGCTGGTGCTGCTGGTCCAAGGATCTCACTTTGAGCAGCAAGGGGTTAGATGGTGTCGTGCTCTCCTGCTTCCTGCTCACTAAGCTACCCTGTGACTCCTGGCTTGGCAAGCCCGGCTTCTGCGCCTCAGACCTCCTTCTGGCCCCGAGCCCTGCCAGCAGCTGTACTTCGACCCATTCTGCTGTGTCGGGAAGGCCCCTGTGAGCCCGTGCAGCTGTGAGGGCCTGCGTGGTGTTGCATCCCTGCTGGAGGCGGTATCGGGCGCTGGGGGTGGTCTTTAAGTCCAGGTGTTAGGGGCTCGTCCCTCATCGTGCACGGGGACAAGGAGGAGGTGGCAGTGAGGCCCCTGGGGCTGGCCGAGGCACTCACGCGATCTCACGGTGGCCGATTTGCCAGGCAAGCCCCCAAACTTGGCACTCACTCGCCCTCTGCCGTCCACCAGCTCTGAGAACCTGCCAAGGGAGTCACCATGGGTCACCGCCGCGGAGTACATGCCTGGGGCCACGCGCTCTGGGGGGATGGCCGAGGCTGCACCTGGGGCCCGGGGTCTGGGTTTCAGGCGCGTCGCGGTCACTGAGCAGGCGCAGCTCTGGCAGGCGTGCGGGCGGGGGTCTGTTTCTGAGCACCCGGGGATGCAGTCCCTCCCTGTGCCAGCGTCTGTCAGCGCCGTCCCTCGAGGCTGCAGGTGGGTGGGAGGATTGGTGGCTGCCCAAGTCTCGTCCTGCCAGGCACCCCCAGAGGGGAACACTGGAGACGGCGTGCGCGGCCCCAAGGCCTCATGGTGGCTTTGTGGGGCCTCATGGTGGGTTTGTGGCTTCCTAGGAAGCCCCAGGCCCTGCTCCCTGCCCCCCTGCCCTGCATCCCATCCCAGGAGTCACAGGGCCAGCTAGTCTAGCCCACCCTGGACCCCAGATCTCCACCTGCAGGGCATGGCCAGCCACTTGGACCTGACAGGACACCTGAGAGAGGCCCCCCCCAACATGTCCGGAGAGTGAGGGCAAGGCTTCTCTGTGGGTCCTTGTGCCCTAACTGTGCCCCCCAGCCCTCCCTCAGGCAGGTGTGCCTGCAGCTGCGCAGGGTCTGACCCTCCTGCCAGGTGCCCATGTGTCTGCTCTCTGGGGCTCTGTTGTGGCCCAGCCACTATCCGCCACCCTGCTCCCTGTTGCCTTCCCCGAAGCATCCATCCGGATGCACCATCTCCCCACAGCATGTCTGTGCTCCAGCATAGCAGCAGGGTTGTGCAGGACCAGGTGGGACCCTGTGGGCCTCCTGGGCACTGAGGAGCAGACCACATCCTTCGTGTGGCCTGAGGCTCTGCGCTCCTCAGCTGTTTCCCCCCTCCACCTGTCCACCTGAGTCTTCCTTCCTGCCTCTCCCAGGCCGCCCCTCCCTGAGGCCATCCTTCTGCCCAGAGGCTCCTTGTGGGTCAGGCCTGGCTGCAAGGCCACTCCCCGGAGACAAAAGTGAGGAGCAATATGCTTATGTCTACAAATTCCCAGTGCACGGACCCTGCAGTAACTGTCCATGAGTCCTTCCTTCCTCACCGATTTTCACACCCCCAAATTCTCCTGTGTGAACACAGTCCTGCTTTGCTGTTGTCTGATGTCACTGGGACAGTGTCGCCTGTGCGGGTCCTGGGGCTGAGCTGTCTCCTGGGCAAGGATGCCACACCTCAAGGAGGGCAGCCCAGGCCGCTGTCCTGCTGGGGGCCCGCAGTGAGCACGAGGGGCTGGGCCGTCTTCCTGGCCCCATCAGTGGCCGTCCCCGCCCCACTGTCCCTGGCAGGACTGTACTTACAGGTGATGATGTAGAGGTGAGCAGGCTCGCTGTGCAGTTGGTCGCCCTCAGTGCTCTGCACAGCGGTCACCGACAGCTGGTAGCGTCGTCCTGGCAGCAGGTCCCGCACTGTGTAGGACGTCAGCCTCCCGTTAGGGACATAGCGGCTCTTGGTGCTCTGGCTGGTGGTCACGTTGATGACGTATGCCTCCAGCAAGGTACTTGGAGTGGGGGTGTCCCAGACCACATGGGCAGAGGTGGCCGTGACTCTGGCGGCTGTCAGGTTTGCTGGCGGCAGGGGCCCTGATAGGCACGGAGCAGGGGAGGGAGGTGAAAGGGACCACCACCAAGTTTAAAAAGATCTGACAGGACTGCTGAAGTCTCCCGGAAGCCCCATGTGGTCATGATGGACAACCTGACAGTCCTAAAGGGTGATGTGGAGGGGTGTTTGCAGCTGGGTCAGCAGCAGCGCATCCTTCTGCCCGAGAGGCCCCCCAGCATGCTGCCTGGAAGCAGCCACAGAGGCCCCGTCCCTGCGCAGCCTGTCAGCGTATTCTTTTGATTACTTAAGCCTGGCCGTGTGCACCCTCCCCTGGGGTGTGGGAGGGGGCCAGACGGGCAGGGAGTGGGCCAGGGTCCCAGCATTCAGGGTCAGCGCCAGGACTTGAGCCGGCCCTCACCCCCCCCCAGCCAGGCTATTCTGGAACCTGAAACCAAGACCCTGGCCAGACCTTCCCTCCTCACCACGCACCCCTCCTTGTTCACGGGTCCCCCTGGCGTGGACAGCATGGCACTCTGGCCCCCTCCATATTGGGGTGGGAGGGGTGGTGAGGGCCAGGCCTCCTCCCCACCAGATACCATGAAGATCAGGGACTGGACAGTGTGGACATTCACCTGCATGCCCTCTGGCCTTTTGCTTCTGACCCCTGTCTGGTAGGAACCCAGGAGCCTTTGGGTGCTGGAAGCAGAGGGCTTCCTGGCATGCCCACCCTTCCTGGCGCCTGTGGGGAAGACCTCTGGTATGCCAGGGCCACTTTGGTAGGACTCAGGCTGGAGGGAGGTGAGAGCTTCCAAAGGTCCCACAAAACCTGAGGTCATGTACTCACGAGTCCACACGTGCAGTGGGGCCGAGGCCAGGCTCTCGGTGGGAGGCTCCTGTCCCCCAAGCCCGCTGAGGGCAGTCACCTGGATGGTGTATCTCCTTCCTGGCAACAGGGCCCTGGGGGAGGGAGGCCAGGGAGAGACTCCACTGCCAGACTGTAACTCCTTCCACACAGGCGGGACTAGTTGTGGGTGGTCCTGCAGGTGGCCTCCAGAATGACCAGATTTGTGGCCTGAGACCCGTGTGTTCCTCAGGTGGGAGCTACTCCCTGGTTTGTCTGTCTAGTACAGGGCAGGGGTCGAGAATGGCCCACACCTGCCTGGGATGGCCATGGTACAGAGCCCGGTGTTCAGGCAGGAGAGGCCGGAAAGGGGCACTTGGAAGTCATTGTGCAGAAGAGGATCAACAAGGAGGCCCCACCGCCCTCCTGGGTGGCCCTCCGTGAGTGTTCCCGGGAGAGTTCCCGGCACCCTCATGGATGAGAGGACCTCGCTGCCCCCACACCTCTGTGCAGCGTGGTTCATGCTGAGCACTTGCTTCCTCCTGGGTGCCCCGAATCGACAGCAGGCAGGGGTGCCCCGGGCCCAGCCCCTGATAAAAACCCTGGGCTCTGCGTCTCTCCCGGGCTCCCCTGAAGACAGCACCTCACGCCTGGTGGTGGCCTGTGTAAGTCCAGGGGGAGGGGCCCTGGAAGCTCAGCCCTGGTCCCTCGAATTCTCCTTTCCTGTGCGTTGTACCATTTCTCTGTTATGAATCCCAGCTGGGGGGCATGGCCTCTGCTGAGTCTGGGGGGGCCCTAGTGAGTCACTGAGCCGGGTGGTCCTGGGGACCCTGACTCAGTCACCAAGTGCCCACCCAGGGCCTCACGTGTGTTTTTGTCACACCAGTCCTTGGAAGTGGGCAGGACATCAATCAAGAAAGGTCACAGCAACACTTAAAACACAAAGCAGAGTCTTGTTTCCAGCACAGCAGGCAAGCAAAATAGGGTCTTGGTGAGTCCACCAACCAGAAATGCGCAACCGTGTGGGTGGCTCAGGGATGCCAACAGGACGAGTGACCCGCCTGGCCTGGCTTGCCTGCCCCCGACCCCTGTCTGCCTTCCAGACGCCCCTTCCCATGGCCACGGCCTGTGGCGGCTCTGGACAGGATGTTGCTGGTCTGTCCCCACGGAGCCAGCCTGGGCGTCTGCTGTGTCAGAGGCGCAACTGACTAGGTGGGGGTTTCCTTGACTGGAGCTGTGTTCACTCTGCAGGCCCAGGGGCCCCAGCCGGCCTCCCCACTCTCCCGTCTTCCAGCACTGCTCCCAGCCGGTGTCAGAAGCCTCCCTGGCTGGCGAGCCACCTCCAGTGGGCTGAGGCCGTGGGCTGAGCCTTCACTGTGGGGCCGTTCCAGCTTTTACTTCAGTCCTCAGCCAGTCTGAATGACTGACATTCCTGTGAGTTGTATTTACTTTGTAGTTTTGTTTGTATTTGATTTGTAATAATTAAGCGTAAGATGTTTATATGCCTAGCTTAAGGTTCTAACATACGATTTGAATAATATAAAAATTTAAGGCAAGTATAGGGGTGCCCTGTGTCTCCCTTTCAGAGGGGCCCGCGTGACTCAGGCTAGGACAGCTCTGTGCTGCTCTTTGGGTGGCTCGGTCTCATTATCTGTGCAGAAGGCACAACCCCCCAAGTTTTAGAGCATTCCCTACTTTGTCAGGGCCCTTTCAAACACCTGTCTGGTAGCACCTGTGACGGGACAAGGCAGTACTGAGGCCTGCGACAAAGGGGGGCTCTGCCTGTCAGAGTTGAGCAAGTGCTTGGGCAGCACAGGAGGTGCACACAGCCCTGCTTCTCAAGGTGGACAGGGCAGGTGGGTAGCGGCAGGGGAGGGGCACAGAGGGAGAAAGGAGGAAGCCCCGAGCCCCAAGGGAAGTGAAGGCCGGCCACTTGCTCTCACCCGAATGTGAACCTGTCCACACTCTTGTCCATATCGGTGGACTGGTCCTCCTGGGCCTCAGGATGCCGGATGGACACGCGGACACTGCTGACGGTGGCGTGACGGATCCTGTGCAGAGCCCACCGCACTGAGATGGTGCTGGCTGTCACGTTGGTGACCTCAAGGCCCTCAACCGGGCGGGGTCCTGGGGGGCAACGGGCCCCTCAGCTGATGCTGGCACCTCCTCGCTCCAGGGGAGGGCAGGGGCTTGAGACCATAAGACAGGGCTCGGGCAGTGTGCTGGGGGGTCTCTGAGAGGGGCCCAAGCGAGGTGCCGGCCCACCTGGGCTTGCTGGTGTGGCTTTCAGCCACAGTGGGACTAGTGGGACTAGGGTCAATTGGACAGGCTCCTGCCTGGGGTGGGGAGTGCAGGCGGCTCCACTAGAGGCCTGCGGTCTTGCCTATTTAGACAAGCCAGGCGGTGGGGCGGGGCCCTTGGGACACACGGACCATGGGACCTCCTTTTTCTTTTCCCTGGCTGTTTTGGCTGCACTGGACAGTGAACATTTGGGCGATGCTGGGGCCTACCAAGGATGGAAACGGAAAATCCTGGGCTACCTTGGGGAAGGGTCTGGGTGAACCACGGGGCCGGGAGGGGAGCTCTTTCCTCCTGACAGCGAGGTGCCCCGTCTGTTGGGCAGTGGTCCCTCCTGCCCACCCTCATCTCCTGGGGAGACCCCACTCTCAGTGTCGGTGGAGGGGTAGGGATGCCATTTCTTCGTAAAGCCAAGCTCAGGCTGAGCCCACTCTGCCCCACAAGCTCACTCAGGTCCTCCTGCTGGCCCAGGAGCACTCTCAGTGCCTCTTGGCTGGCCTGCCCCACCACACACCTGTCCTGAGTTTCTCATCTCATCCCTCACTTGGCCCTCAATGCCCTCAGGGTCAGTGTCTGGTTTGGGCTGGCAGGTGACACCTGGGCACCTTCCTCCTCCCACAAAATTCCTGTCCATGCCTCTGAGCATTCTCGCCTCCCTCCTTCCCCAGCCCGAGTCCCCACTGGTGAGTCCTGGCTGTCTGGCTTCACAGTGCTCCTGGGGCTGGCCCTGCCTGCCTGCTCTGACCTGTGCCAGCACCTGGTATGGTGGGAGCAAGACCCCTTGTGTGCTGGCCACACTCTGAACCCCTACCAGCTGCCCTTACAGGCCCTCCGTGCTGCCTAGGGGACCACTGCCCCGTCCGTGCTCCTTCCTCCAGTGTCTAGCACCCCCTCCCACAGTCTCCCGCAGTCCCATGGCCTCTGCCCACCATTGGTTCCCCCCGCTGGAGGACCAGATCCTCCCCTGTAGATCCCAGAAGCAGATGACCCTAGACTATGCTTCCCCCTCCTGTGCAGCTGCACCCCCAGAGGCCCCTCCCTGCCGGCCCCCTTCTCTAGAACTGCCACCAGCAGGCTTCCTCCCCACCCCCTCAGCGTGTTGGGGTGACCTCCTAGGCCCCTTGCCTGTCCCTTCAGCACCCCCAACGTGGGCTGGCCCCTGTTAGGTGCCTTCTCGGGGAGCCCGCCCTCCCCCGGGCCTCACTCCTAAGCCCCGGTGCCTTGGGGCCCCTGGCCAGTGCGCCTCTCCAGTGGCCGCAGACACATCCAGGTGGGCACTCACGTGTGCGGGCAAGCAGCAGCACTGGCCTGCTGATGTCGTTCTTGTTGTTGGCGTTGCGCTTGACGGAGAACACAGAGATGTTGTAGGCTCTGCCGGCTGCAAGGGCCCGCAGCTGGTGCGAGGAGCGGCTCCGGTCCACAAAGTCTGTGCGGCGGTAGGCACCATCCGAGGAGGTGTAGGTGACCGCATAGCCGTCGAGCATCTGCCTGGCGGCCTGGCCCTCAGGTGGACGCCAGGAGATGGAGACCCCACTCTCTTCCACTCGCTCCACCTTGAGGGCCGTTGGTGGGAAGAGCTCTTCAGGGTTTCCGTCAAGAACAAGGGAAGGGGGTGGTCAGCTGTCAGCCACGGAAGCCCTGGCCCCCAGCCAGACGTCTCACCTGGTGGCTCTGGGGTCCACCACCCCCGGCGGAGGTGAGCAACTGCAGGTGGGGAGCCAGCTCCTGTTGCCACAGTGGCCCTCTCCACCTGGTCTCTGGCCAGGGCCTCCTGGAGGGTCTCAGGTGTGTGTGCACAGGTGACTGCATGCCTCCTGGGCCGCTAGATACCCCTCCCTGCTTCTTGGGAAACTAGACGCTCTGCCCTGGGGGGTGCTCAGCACTTGGGTCTGTGCCCTCTGAGGGACGAGGGGCCGTCTGCTATGCTGGCACCTTTGCCACCTCACCTTTGGCACAGTCCTTGCCCGTGTAGCCCACTTTGCAGGTGCAGCTGTGGGACCCATTGCTGGCCAAGCAGTAGCCGCGGCCCCCACAGGGGCTGGAGAAGCAGGGGTCACTCACTGGGGAAGAGGAAAGGAGCAGTGAACACTGGGGCCTTACCCGCTCCCCCAGAGGGACCCCTGCTCTCGGGGGCCACAGGTCCTTCCTGTGTAGGCATGTTTGTGGGGTGGATGTGGGTGGAGCCATCCCAGGCAGCGATTTGGGGAGGTGAAGGAGGGGAAATGCAGGGCTTTCCAGAGCTCTCACCAAGAGGCTGGCTCAGAGACAGAGCCCGGTCATCCCACCACCACTCCAAGCCCAAGTAGCCTGGCAGGCGGTGACTTAGGGTGGGGCGAGCACAGTGCTGCCCCTCCTGGGGAGAACCTGGCAGCCAGGGCAGCCTCCCTCTGCCCTGGGGCTGTGGGCACCCAGGGGACCTGAGTTCCCTAGGCCAGGGCCAGGGCCCGCAGTTTCCCACTGAAGCCACAGGAGCCCCCTTATCACTGTCATGGCCGCTAACCTTGGTCCTCCGTGTGTGCCCTCACCCACCCCAAGCTTGTACAGTGAGACTCCCTGGCCACAAGCAGCTCCCACGGTGCTTATGCCTGGGTTCCCAGGCCCCGCAGTCCCTGGGCCCTAGGCCTTCGCCCCCCGCCCCCCCGCCCCGAGTTCAGCCTTCACTGCCCTGCAGCCCTGTGCACCCCACCCAGCAGGGTGCTGCCAGCCAAGCCCAGCCTGGGGGCTAGGACATGATGTGCCCCCGGGACACACCCATCCTAGGAGGAGAGCTGAGACCAGCAAATTGAAGAGACAGTTGCAGAGAGTGGCAAGTCCTATAAGGGAGGAAAATGTGCGGAGAGTTCCCAGGTGTAAGGAGAGGTGAGCACCGGGATATGCTGGGGCTGCAGTGAGCTCCGCCCGTCCACGGGGCCAGCTTGTCTCGGGGGGTGAGGGCGCCATTGGAGGGGCAAGTGCAGGAGGTGGGTAGCTGGCATCAGGGGACCCAGCAGAGGCCAGAGGACAGGGCCTCTGGAGGAGTGGGGGCTTGGCCCCTGCCTCCCTACCTGTCTCACAGTGGTAGCCGAAGAAGCCCTCTGGGCAGACGCACAGGTAGGCCCCGCCATCGTTTTCACATCGGCCTCCGTGCTGGCAGGGGCTGGAGTGGCAGCCATCCACCTCTGGAGAACACCCAGAGAGTCGGCCAGAGCCGCCAGGGGGTGTCTGGGGGAGGGAGGAGAGGACAGCGGGAAGAAGGGAAGGGGGATCGAGGAGAGATGCCGGGTGGGGGGGGGGGTTGCTGGGGAAATCCCCCTCAGCCTTGGAGTTCCCTTCCTGGGGTGCCTCCCCCTGCCCTGGGGCCAGGGGCCCAGCCATGTTCCTCTGCTCTCTGAGTGGCCCAGGGTCTACGCTTGTTCAGAATAGGTTTGTCCAGGATGTCCAGGGCATCTCGAATGTGGGTGAGGGCCCAGCCACTCAGGGGACCCAGCCGAGCACAGCCCCTACCTGTCTCGCAGTGGACTCCAGTGAAGCCTGCAGGGCACTGGCAGACAAAGGCCCCCGGGAGGTCCCTGCAGGAGCCTCCATTACGGCAGGGCTGCGCTTGGCACTCGTCTGTCTCTGCAGAGACAGGACAGGAGGCTGCAAGGCCCTACACAGGCTCCATCTAGGTGGGACGCAGGCCCTACACGGCCCTACACAGGACTGCACGGCCCTGTGTGGCCTCTATGCGGACCTCCAGGGCCTCCACAGCCCCCGGATTTCACGTGTGTGCTGAGGCTTTAGCCTGATGCCCACCCTCTCCACTGTCTGCCCTACAAAGGCCCTACCCCCAAGTCACTTCAGCATTTCACTGCCCAGGCTTCTCAGGGGCCTGGGCACATCCTGGGCCTGGCCCTCCCTGGAGCAGTGTCTCTGTCTCAGGGCTTAGAGCCCTACCCAGGTGTGACGGGTACAGGCTCATCCACCAGTGTACCCCGCAGGCCTCCCCTCCCTCTGCCGGCTTGGAGCACAGGGCCAGGAGTCAGGGTGTGACTCTCTCCACCCCACCTCCTCTACCGCTGGGGCAGAGGCTGCAGAAGGCAAGAGGAGGTCAAGGTCAGCTTGCTCCCCCGGGAGGTGGAGGTTGAGATGTTTACAAAGAGAGGCGGGAGTCAGAGAGCAGGCAGTGCTGGGCCAGGCAGCCTGGGAGAGGCTGGGAGGGGGTGGAGCTGCGCCCTGCAGTCTTGCCCAGCGCAGGGGCCTCCTTTGTGTCTTGTGAGGCAGGAGCCCCCATGCAGGCACGGCTGGGAGGCTGGGATCCGCGCTCAGCAGCTTCTGAGAGGGGACCCCAGGTGCACAGGCACCAGGAGGGACCCCAAGAACAAAGGCAGTGATTGGAGGCAGTGGCTTGGAGCCAAATAAGATGGACATAAATTAGCTTTGTTCTGAGGAGCTGGACAAAATTGTCCAGCACCCATCAGTGCTTGGAGAGGCCCGAAACACCCTGGAGAGGAAGAGGTGGGCAGTTGGCCCCAGGATGGGGGATGCTCATCATGACCTTGAGGACTTCACTGCAGCGGCTGCCAGGTGGCCAGGCCCCATCTTGCCAATTCCCCATTCACAGCCACCACATATGAAATCACTGCATTTGGGGACGAGGCCTTCACTTTAGAGTATTTGCCACAGGCTTGTTTTTTATTTTAAACTGGGAGCGGTGCTCTGGAATTCAAAATCTTCAATTTAGAAAAGTTTAATTTTAATGCTTAAAATGTAATGAAGTAGATAAATGGTAGTGAGTAAGACACCCAGGAGCTAGAATGCTCACTGGCTCATCTGGTCACACGCACTTCCCCACCCTTGTGATGTGGATTTCTGGGGTTATGTCTTCGCCTCTTTAGTGTTTTAATTGTTATAAACTACCTAAACAATGTATGGTTTTGTTTTTGCTATTTATGAACTTCATTAAAAGGATATTGTGATACCAGTCACTCAAAATGATACTAATGAGCTATCTCCATGCTGTTGTGGGTCTCTGTGTGAACACGACAGTAACAGAGCCCACGGCGGGATTCTACCGTACTCTGTCCATTCTTGTTTGGTGGGTATTTGGGTTGGTTTTAGACTTTTTGTTATTTTAAAAAGTGCTTCTATTTCCTTTCATAGCTCTTGGTATAAATGTGCCCATTTTCTTAGATTTAAACCTAGAAGTGGAATCTCTGGGACACAGTTTCTATGCCTGGTCGAATTGATAGGCAGGTTGCCAAACTCTTTTCAAAGTGTTTGTATTAATTTACACTCCCTCCAGCAATTTGTAAGAAATCCTGGTGATCCACATTACCACCAGTAGATGGCTTCTTAGACTTCTGCACTTTTGTCAGCTGAATGCACCTCACTGTGGTTTTGATTTGCATTTTGCTGATTACTAATATTTCTCTTTATTTTTGTTGGCTTTATTATCTCCTCTTCTGTGAAAGGCCTACTACATGTATTTTGCCGATTTTCCTACTAGGTTGATGGTTCTTTCTTATTGATTCATAGAGTTCTTTATATATTCTTGAAACCAGTCGTATATATATCTTTTCCTGGTTTGTAGCTTATATCCCACTTTCTTCCTTAGGGCTGATGATTTTAAGTTTCTAATTCTTATATAGTCAAATTTGTCCATTTTTTTTTTTCTTTTATGGTTAGGGCTTTTTTTGTGGCTAAAGAAATCTTTCCTTATCCCAAAGCCAAAAAGATACCTATATTTTCCACATAAAATTTTATAGTTTTAGAAAAACATTTAAGTCCTTAATTAATCTGGAATGAACTCTTGTGTGTGGTGAAAAGTAGGACAATGTAATATTTTTCTAAATGCATAACCATTTTATTCCAGCTGTTGTGAAGATTGTCTCATAGGATTTTTTTAGAAGTTTACGGTTTTAGTTTTTACACTTATGTCTATAATTCATTTCACATATATAAACACTTATCATATTTGGTGCTATTATATATAATATTGTTCATTTTATCTTATTTTCCAAGTGTTCACTGGTAGACTGTGAAAATATTAAGGTTTTGTATATTGTCCCTGTCCTGTGACTCACTTGAATTTGCTTATTTATTATATAGCTTTATCTTGTAGAATCTCTTAGGATTTCCTATGTGCATGACTATGTCATCTTTCTTCCAGTAGATGTGGCTTTTATTTCCTTTCCTTGTCTGTGGCCCTGTCTGGGACCTCCAGGACAGTGCAGGAAGGAATCAGTGAAATGGACACACTGCCTTATTACTGATTACAGCAGTACACCTCTCACCCTGAAGTACTTTGTTAGCTGTTGCTGTTTCATGGATACCCTTCATCAGGTTAAAGACATTCCCTTCTATCTACTCTTAGCTTATTAAGAGTTTTAAATAGTAGTTGAATATTTTCCGATGATTTTTCTGCATCTATTGAAATGATCATACGGTTTTCTCCTTCATATCCTAATATGGTGAATTACACTTACTGATTTTCAAGTGTTAAACCAATCTGTATTCTTGAGATAAATCCCACTTGGTCATGATATATTATCCTTTTTATATAACAGTGTGTTTGATTTAGTAATATTTTGTGAGGATTTTTATGTCCATATTCTTGAGGAATATTAGTCTGTAATTTCCTTTTTTTTTCCTTTTTTTTGTGGGCTCCACGTGTGTGGAGCCCAACGCAGAGCTTGAATTCACGTCCCTGAAATCAAGACCTGAGCTGAGATCAAGAGTTGGATGCTTAACCCACTGAGCCACACAGGCACCCCTAAGTTCATTTTTTTTTTTTTTTTTTAAATAACCTCTCTGTCTTGTTTTGGTATCAAGACAATACTGGTCTCACAAAATGAATCAAGTGCTCTTCTTTCTTTATTCTCTGAAGAAGCTTGTGTAGTAGTATTCTTTTCTTTGGTGTTTGATAGAATTCATCAGTGAAGCAATCCAGTTCTGCCATCTTCTTTGCAGAAAGGTTTTTAATTACATATTAAAATTCTTTAATAGATATGGGGCTATTCATATTTTCTATTTATTCTTCTGTCATTTCTGGTAATTTGTGTCTTTCAAGGTATTTATCCCTTTTCTTTAAGTTGTCAGATATACTGACCTCAGCTTGTTCACAGTATCTCTTCCTTGTCCTTTAAATGCTTGTTAGGATCCTTAGTGATGTCTCCTCTTTCATTCTGATATTGCTAATTTTTCTTTCTTATTTCTTGATCAGTCTAACTAGAGGTTTTTCAATAAGGAACCAGCTTTTGGTTTCATTGATTTTCTCTGAATATGTCTTTTATAATTGTATTTTCTAATTGTTGATATATTAAAATGCAATTTTGTTATAATTACCTATATCCAGTAAACATACTATATTTTCTATCATTTTCAGTAGTTTGCTTATAGATTGAAGAGAACCATACTGCTTATAGATTAAATTTTGCTTATAGATTAAAGACAACAAATACTGACATTCTTACTCCCTACCTTCATATTTTCATGATTTTAATTTCTTTTTCTTACTTTATTGCATTGGCTAGTACTTCCAATATAATATTGATGAGGCTTAGTGACAGTGGGCATCCTTGTCTCCATTTTTTTTGAGAGGGAGAGAGAGAAGTGGGGAGGGTGTAGAGGGAGAGTGAGAGACAGAGAATCTTGAGCAGGCTCCATGCCCCAGCGTGGAGCCTGACACAGGGCTCAATCTCACAACCCTGAGATCATGACCTGACCTGAAATCAAGAGTTGGACACTCCAGTAACTGAGCCACCCAGGCTCCCCTCGTTGTCCCCAATTTTAAGAGGAATGTGTTTCTATTTAGGATAGTGTTTATTTGAGGTTTGAGTAGAGGCACAGTAAAACTGCCCCAGAAGCTAATTTCCTTCCCCCTGTTGGTAGCTCAGCATGACTGAGTCAGCTCAACAGAAGCACAGGTTTTGAGTATCAGATCCTGCCTCTGTATAACAAGGATCAGGAGACTCATTGTTCCACAGCTCTCTTGATGTAACCTGTACTTCTTCCTCTATGAATGTGTGAAGTGTTATTGCTTGGCCACACATAGTGTGACTAGTCTGGCTATGCCTGGCCTAAGCACACCTCTCTGTGGGATGATGCACACTTCGAGGGTTATGTGGGCTCTGCTACATCTCTCTTTTAAGTTTTTCCTCCAACAAATCCTATATATTTTATACTGCATGGTATTAGAGGTGTTATGTGCATGTATGTGCATGTGTGATGTGATTTTTATCTGGTAAGGAAATACTTTTTTATTCCTTATTTGGTAAGAATTTGTTTCACGAATGGGTATAAATTTTGTCAAATGCTTATTATGCATTTATTGAGATACTTACATGCTTTTTATCCTTCAGTTGGTTAATATAGCAGGTTTTCCTAATATCAAACTATTCTTGCAACAATCCAGCTTGATAATGGTATATATAGTCTTTATAGACTTGAATTTCTGCCTCTATGTTCATGTTTAACAGATCCATCATTTTACTTTCTCCAACTGTCCATATCTGGTGTTGGTATCAAGGTTATACTGGCCTCACAGAATAGGTTGGCGCATATTCTTTATTTTTTACTCTCTGGAAGAACCTGTATAATGCTGCAATGATCTGTTTCTTGGCAATTTGGTAGAATTTACCTATAACATCCTGGAGTTTCTTTGTGGGAAAATGCTTTAAGTACTGCTTCAATTCCTTTAGACATTTATCGGATTATATAGGCTTTCTAAATTTCCTTGAGTCATTTTTGGTAAGTTATATTTTTCTATGAATAGTATGTCCATTTCTCCTAAGTTTTCAGATTTACTTGTATAGGCTAGTTGATGGTATTCTCATTATCTTTTTAATTTCTGCTCTATCTGTGGCTATGTCACCTTTTTCATTTACAAGGATTTTTATTTGTGCTGTTTGTTTTTCTTGATTAGTTGATAGAAGTTTGTTCATTTTCATAGGGTTTTCAAAGAACTAATTTTGGTGTTCTCTGTACTTTTGACTTATGTTTCATTAATTATGGCTCTTACTTGTATTGCCTTTTTCTTTCTACTTTCTTTGTATCATTTGTTGTTCTTTTCCTAACTTCTGAATTCCGACATTTAGTTCATCAATTTTTGAACTTTTCTAACTATGTACTTAAAGTTCCCACGAAGCATTGCTTTTGCTGCATCGGACAAGTTTTTGTATAGAAAATGATCATTAATATTCATTTAAAATTTTGTCACTGTCCATATTTCTTCTTTGATCCATAAGCCATTTCAAAGTATCTTTAAAAATATATAAACATGAAATTTAAAATTTATCTTCTTGTCCTTAATAACTTAATTTTTTCTGTGTGTTCAGAGAATGAATTAGTTCAAATTGTTAGTTGTATTATTTGAATTTTCTTTTTGCTGATTTTTTTGGGGGGGCTTCTTAACCTGAATTGAGAGAGGTGGTTCAAAATTTCATAGTATTATGGTAAATCTGTCAGTTTCTTCCTGCAGTCTGTTAATTTTTGTTTTATATGTATTGACCCTATTATATTAGATGCTTAAATGTTTATAATGATCTTCTTGGTGAATCGGAACCAATTATCATTGAAAGAGACCCTCTCATCCTTAATGATGCTTTCCATCTTAGAGTCTATTTTGGCTGATAATAGTGTAGCTAAACCTGCTTTATTTTGATCTGTATTCACCTGGTATTTTTTCCATATTTTTACTTTGTCTTTTTAAGTTTATGATTTAGGAGTGTCTCTTATAAGAGAGTATAGCTTGTTTTTATTTTTTAAAGATTTATTTATTTATTTTAGAGAGAGGGGGGAGGGGCAGAGGGAGAGGTAAAGTGAGAATCTTAAGCAGACTCTGTGCTGAGCACTGAGCCTGATGTGGGGCTCAATCTTACGACCCTGAGATCACAAACTGAACCAAAACCAAGAGTCAGATGCTTAACCAACCGAGCCACTCAGGGGTCCCTAGCTTGTTTTGTTTTGTAATTAATCTGGCAATCTGTCTTTTACCTGGAGAATTTAGCTCATTCATATTTGTCTGCATTTTTTTCTATCATAATCTTAACTCTGCCACTTTTTTCTGCTTTTTTCCTCTCTCCTTTTAGAGAGTGGTAGACTTTCCTACAATATTTGATAATCCTCCCTTCTCTTACTGCTTACAGAATATTCCAGGTTTATCTTACTACTTGAATACTATCTCCAAAAGAAAAAGACCCTTTTTTGGTAAGTCTCTGAGGCTGTGTTTGCAAAGGGCATTTTTTATTATGCTCACATTTGAATAATAGTTTGAATAAAAATTTTTAGGTCTTAAGTTTATTTACTTCAGTATTTATCTTGCTTGGTATTTGCTGAGCTTCTTGGATTTGTGGGTTGATGTAGTTCTTCATTTTTAGAAAATACTCAGTCATTATCTCTTCAGATATTTCTTTTGCCTATTCTGCTTTCTCTTTCTGGGACTCCAGTTATGTGCTTGTTTGTTTGATATTTCCCACAGATTTCCTATGTTCCATTTAAAAAAAGTTCATTTATAAATCATAATTCATTTCTTCTTTCTGATCTTTGGTTTGAATAATTTTGTTGACTTGTCCTTGAGTTCTGTGACTTTTTCTTCTGTGGTATCCATTCTATTGGTAAGCCTATCCAATTTACTCTTCATTTCACATGTTGTATTTTTTATTGTGTTACTTTTAAAAGTTCGCTTTCCTCTGCTCAAATTTTCTATTCTCTCATTCATTTTGCTTCTCTTTAACATATTTATAATGGCTATCTTAAAGTCCTTGTCTGCTAATTCAAACATGCGGGTCATCTGCATGTCTGTTTCTATTGACTATTTCTTCTTGAGATTATATGTCATAATTTCTTGCTTCTTAGACATACTGTATACAAGAACAGAGAGGCCAAAGTAGAAAATACATACCCCTAGGACGGCCATGCTCTAGTCTGTGTCAGACACCTAGCCTGAACAGCTGATCTCTGATATCATCCAGAGGCGAGCTGGGCTGGGCCTGGTGTGCAGGGCTCATTAGTGCCAGTTCATGATTGGTTTTAGATTCTTGAGGGTTGGAACAGACCTCTCCCTCCAGGTGGACTGGGGAATCTCAGCCTTGTGAGGCTATGAAATCTCTCGGCTTTCCAGCCCAGCCACTGGCTTCCCATGTACTTAGTAAAAATCCTGTGGGGGAACTGGTGGGTGCTGAGCACTTGCTCTGCATTTGCAACTCCTGATTCCAACCCATCATGCTTGCTTACATGATCATTGAAAGCTTAGTTGGATTTCCCCAGCTCCTCAAATTGCTCTGTCCACAGTGGATTTGCTCCTGGGGTGGCAGCCGCCATCAGTCTTTCTCACCCAGGAAGGGCTCATCTGTACTTCTAGCCATACTCAGCAATCTGATAGGTTAAATGATATTTTACAGGCTCTCTGATTCCTTGATGTTACAGTGAGAGTGATGGCGTTTTGTGACTGTCTCCATGCTCACTGAATGGATCTCTGGGGTATTTAAAATCTACCATTTAATTATCTTATATCTGATGTCACTGTTGAGAAGTCTGGTGCCAATGGGATTATTGTTCCTTTGAAGATTCTTGTTCCTTTTTTCTCTAGATACTTTAAGAATTTTTTCCTGTTTGTCTCTGATATTCTTAAATTTTGCTATAATGTGCTAATATTCCTCTTTTCTCCTGTTTGATGTTCTGGGGCCCTTTCAGCCTGTGGTGGTTCATCTGTCATTCTGAGAACTGAGCTCCATAGTGGTTCCAACATTTCATTGTGTTATTTTTCTCTTGTCTGGGACTCCTGTTACCTCAGTGTTGGCTCTTCTACCCTCCGCAGTGCCTACACCTTCACACAGACCTCCCTTCTTCTCTGTGGGACGAGTCCTCAGACTGGTCTTTTAGCTCATTAACTTAGCCTTCATCTGTATCCATTTGTAAATTGTGTCTGTTATTTCAGCTATTACAGTTTTTCAGTCCTCTTTTCCATTCTCTTTTGTTAAAAATGATTTATTGACTCTGTTTCTTATGACCAGTGCCATGTTTCCTTCCATATACCTGTCATGCTTATTATATATATGCTTGTCCACCTTCTATACTTCCGCTCCCAATGGTATATGTTGTTTGGACTTTATTGTTAACTATCTTTGGAGAGGGCTGGGCTTGGATAGATAGGAGGACAGGAAAGACACTTGGGGCTAGGCAGCCCCCATCTCTCTTCCAGAATTCTTCACCTGTGTGGGGCCTCCCAGCTTGGGCTTTGCAGGGCATTGGGAGAGAGCAGCATTGTGTGCCCCACCCGTCTCTGGGTGCTGTTGTGGTCCCTGAGCTACTTTGTTTAAAAATCCTTGTTTTGGGCACCTGGGTGGCTCAGTCGGTTAAGCGTCTGCCTTCGGCTCAGGTCATGATCCCGGAGTCCCGGGATTGAGTCCTACATTGGGCTCCCTGCTCTGCAGGGAGTCTGCTTCTCCCTCTGACTCTACCCCCTTTTGTGCTCTCTCTCTCTCAAATAAATAAAATCCTAAAAAAAAAAATCCTTGTTTTGTGAAAGATGTGTTAACATCACGCAGGTTTTCTGATGAGCAGAGTTAGGGATGCTTAGGCTTAATGCAACACACCTGCGGTGGTTTTAGTGGCCCTGTGTCTGCAGGGGCATCAGTGGGGGGGCCCTGCCTCCAGGCCATGCACCCTGGCACACTGTGGGAGCCTGAGGTGATGCTCTCTGAAGCAGCACTCCTCAAATGGCTCTGGGGGTCCTGGGGGCCTTGTTCAAATGCAGGGTCTGCTTCCATGGGTCTGGGTGGGGCCAGGGCCAGGGGCAGGAGACGGGCCCTGAATCCTAATCTGCCTCCTGAGGACTTTGCCCTTGGGCTACCTCCCGGCCTCAGCTGCTTCATCTGCAGGGTGGGCATATGGGTTGGACGCCCTGCTCTGAGGACAGGGAAGCCCTTAGTGAACAGTCCTGAGTGGAGCTGCCACTAGTCCTCACCACCTTTCCCCACAGGGTCGTGGCCTCACTTTGTGGGAAGGTGGGGGAGGGCCAGGGTCAGGACTGTGGTCCCTGTGCTCCCCTGAGGGGCCCCGGGGGAGGAGGGTGTGGACCCCACTGGCTCTGCCCGCCTGCCCGCCCTCCCTGCCCCGGAGGGCCTGCAGATCACCGTGGCACTGTGGAGTTTCGCTCCAGACACCCTGCGGCTGGCAGACGCGGATGTGGCTGGGGGAGCTCAGGCTGTAGCCTTGGTCACACTTGTACAGGGCCACGGAGCCCAGCCGAGTGCCGTTGAAGCGCAGCGTGGCATGTTTCACCTCCGCCGGGGGGCCACAGTCCACCTCTGCAAGGACACAGAAGCCCTGTCCTGCACTGGGGGGCACCTGCCTGAGGCCCCCCCCCCTCGGCTTTGCCCTCTGCCCCAGCAGGCCGCAGGGCCTGGGACCCCTGCGCCCTCACAGCCCCCCCGCCCCAGGGTGAAAGTGTCTTGACTTCCAGGAGTAGCTGCCCATCGGTTCTCTCCTTCTTTCCCCTCCCTCCTCTCAGCTCCCTGTCTGGCCCTGCTCTGCTCTTCTGGGATTAGGAAGAAATCCCATGCCTTCCACCCCAACCCGCAGCCCTCTCACCCGCCTGGCACCGGCGTCCCATGTACCCTGCTCGGCAGCGGCAGGAGAAATCTGGGCCCAGGTCCTCACAGGTACCCCCATTCATGCAGGGGCTCCGGAAGCAGGGGGAGGGGGCTGCAAGGACAGAGGGGGGTCATCATTGCTGTGTCCTCCCCAAAGACCTCTAGGCTTCATGGGAGCTCTGCCTCCCACTCCTCCAAAGCAGGGCATCTCTGCCCACTGGGAGCAGATGGGGCCCCCAGGTGCCCTGGCTGTGCTGCTCCCAGCTGGGTTTAGTCCACTGGCCTCTGCCCACCTTACCTATCTCGCAGTGCCGCCCAGAGAAGCCTGGGGGACAGTCACACTTGTATTTGCCAATGTAGTGGAAGCAGGTGCCGCCGTTGTGGCAGGGGCCCGAGGCACAGGAGTCCGGCTTCCCTGGAAACAGAAGGCCCCTATGGGAGTCAGGTGTCATGCACCCACCACCCAGCGCCCCTCCCCTGATCGCCAACATCCCAGAACTGGTGCGCCTTCAGGGGGGTTCTCCTGACAAGCAGACGCATGGTGGCTGGGTGGGGGCTTGGCTCCCCCGATCCAGGCTGACTCCAGCTGGCAGGGGGCCGCACCGATCTCGCAGTGCCTCCCGGTGAAGCGGTAGGGGCAGCTGCAGTGGTACTCGCTGCCCGCCTCCCTGCACGTGCCCCCGTTCCGGCAGGGCCCCGAGCTGCACAGGCGTGGCCGGGCTGTGTGGACAAGGGTAGGGAGAGACAGAAGCAGGTGAACAGGGCCGGCCTCCTGGCCCTGCAGCACCCGTGACATCCTACTCACATCTTCTCAACCCGTAGGCCCTGTGGGCCCAGAAGGCGCAGGCCCTTGGGGGCCCTCTGCCCACCCACCCTCTTTTATCTGTCCCAGACCCTGGGGACCACTGGGCCCTTTCCGGTGGAGAACTGGCCTGCGTGGCAGAGAGCGCAGCTGCCCCTGATAGGACGTTGGAATCCACCGCAGTCTGATTTTTGTTTTCTGTGCCTCTAGTGGCACCAGGGCATTTTCTCTGGGTCCTAACATGCTCCCAGGGCCCTGAGGGGCTCCCTTGCTGTGCCTGTGCTTGAGGCATCTACATATTTAAAGGCACAAACAAATCCAGTGGTAGGTCTGCCCCTCCATCCTGAGGAATGGCACCTTCAGAGGCCCACAGAGGAGTTTAGATCCTCAGCTTCCTCGACATTCTTGGGAGCAAGGTGCAGCAGGAAGGGGGCCTGCCTGCCGTGCTCAGCCTTTCTCTCCCCACCACCCCACACCCTGCAGGGCCTCACAGGCTGCATGTCCAAGTTCCGCCCACCCTCCCCCCCCAAAAGCTGCCACCCTGTGTCCCCACTTTGGGATGCCTTTGTTGGAGATGGACCTCGGCCACGCATGCAGAGAACCAAGCCGGAGGGCTTCTCTTTGGAAACACCCTCCTCCTGCAGGGGTGGCTGAAGCTGTGGGGGTTCCGTGTGTCAGAGTAGCAGGGACCTGCCCCCAGGGCCACCGTAAGAGCAGAAGAGACTTCCAGGTAAAGCCGCTGAGGCCTCTGTTCTTGGGACCAGCGAGGGCAGCAAGAGGCCCAGGGGGTGTGTGTGGCCCAGGTGCTGAGCTCCAGGAGCCAGGCCCGTGGCCTGCTGGGCTCTGATGAGGGGCACGGCGTCTGAGTGCTCGGAAGGCACAGGCCGGGGTGGGCGCTGGCGGGACAAGGGTGCCGCCACGTTCTCTCAGAAGAATACATCCGCTAGTATGTAAACGTTGTGAAACGCTAACATTCTCCAAGTTCAATTAGATTTAATAAAGCCCTAATGAATTTTTTAAAAATCAAGGATTCTAAAATCCATTTGCGAAAATGCTGAGTGGGAAATGATGCCTATTCTGAGGAAAACCAAGTAGTGACCAGGAGGCCACAGAGCAGAACCACTAACTGAATAAGCAGCATTTGGGCCGGGGGAGACCATGTGGGCACGACACACGGACGCTGGGTGACCGAGCAGAACCGCAAACTAGGGTGAGCGGGGGCCCTCTCTGCCCTGCCCTCCCCCACCCAGCTTTGCCCTGCCCTGCCATGCCTCGCCCTCCTAGCCCTGCCCTGCCCTCCCATGCCCTCCCCTCCCAGCCCTGACCTGCCCTCCCCTCCCAGCCCCGCCCTGCCCCGCCCTCCCCTGCCGCCCACCTTTCTCACAGTGCCTGCCGTGGAACCCTCGGGGGCACTCGCAAGTGTAGGAGTCCTCGTGGACGTCACAGGAGCCTCCATTGAAGCAGGGGTCTGAGTCGCAGGGTGATGGCAGTGCTGCAGGGGCACAGGGTGGTCACCCTGACATCCCAGCTGGATCCAAGGCCACTTAAAAGACACTCTTTGCGGGGAGGGGTCTTGATTCTTCACACCAGGCTCTACGGCCCTTCTCTGGAAATGCTTTTATTCTCGATTTTTCCAGAATTCACCCTACCTCTCCTGGGAGCTAGGATTGAGCTGTGGTGCACAAATGTTTTCGTATCAACACCTCCAGCATCTTCATGTGTAATTATACAGTATGCAAGCCATTATTTGTACTCAGAAATACACAGTAGTATTTAATCACATACTTAATTAGGCATGAAGTATTTTAATAGCTAAGCTAGGGGCTTAGGGAAGAGCTTGTAGGCATCCAGGGGTGCTTTTCCTGCTGTGAGCTTCCTGCAGCAGAGGGGGTAGACAGCCAGGCCCCAATACAGAGACCACACCAGGAAAGGCGCACACAACCACGGGGCCTCTTGTGGGCCAGTAGGGAAGCCCTGGCCTCTGCCTGTGTGGCCCTCACTTTCTCCTCCTAACACCCTCTCCCTGGCTTCTAGGTGGGCCTGTGCCCGTAGCCCTACCCTCCACTCACAGTGGCTGACGTTGTGGTCCGTGTGGCAGACGCAGAGGTAGCTCCCACCGTACTCCATGCAGTAGCCCCCGTCAGGACACTGTGTGTTCATGTTGCAAGGAGTGGCTGTGACTTCTGCAGGGAAGGAAGAGGCCCATTCGTCTTCCTGGGGACTTCTCGTCCTTGAGAAGGATCAGGTGGCCCTGCCAGCGTGGCCTGGTTCAGGCACTCTTGTGGCGGGCCCCCTCCTGGGGTGGGCGTGGGGGATCACGGGACCGCTGGTTAAGGGTCTGGCTCTATGGTTTGGGCCCAGGCCCAAGCCACCAGCTATACTCCGGTTTGGGGGATTTTCAGGGGCAGGGCAGGAAGCGTGCCCCGATGCAGCCCTGGGCACTTACCAAATTCACAGAGGAGCCCAAAGAAGCCTGGGGGGCACTGGCAGAGGGTGGTGTTGGCCCCCAGGCATCTGCCACCATTACGGCACTCACAGTGGTCAGGGTTTCCTGCCGTAGATTGAGGGGGAGCCTCCATTGTGGGGGTGCTGGAGGATCGGGGCCCTCTCCTGCTTCTGACCCTGCCCTGCTCCTGTGGCTACCTTCCCATGAACACTGCCATGCAGATGCACACACATGCACGCGCACGCACACACATGCACACTCTCTCATCCCCCACCCACTCATGGGTGTTGGCACACACACCCGTTGCCTTCCTGTACGCACTACCCACAGGAGAGCCCTGCCCGGGACTGCAGCCCTGGCAGCCCCTGCCCAGACTCACTCTCCCTGCAGTCGGGCCCAGTGAAGCCCTGGGGGCATTCGCACACGTGGCCCTCATCTGCATCCACACAGGTGCCCCCATTCTGGCAAGGGGCTGAGAGGCAGGCATCCGGCACTGGTTGGCTTCCTGCAAGAAAGACAGAGGTCCCCAGAAGCTGCACGGAGAACATGGGCGAAATGGGGCCAAGGGCCCCCTTGCCCAGACCCCACAGCACTCAGTTCTCAGTGCAAGTGGGATTTAAGCCTGAGGCCCACTTTCTGGAAGCTGGTTTCTAGCTGCCCCTCACCATCTGAGCCCCCTCTGTGGAGCAGAAGGTGAAGCAAGAGTATGGAGACCCACGGTGTGCACCAAAGGGCCCAGCTAAGACCAGAGGGCTCCAAACAAATCCTTCTAATCAAGCATCTATGTTAGCAACATGGTTGGGATTTTCCAGATACAGTTTTTGTTGATTTCTAGTTTAACTACTGTAATCAGAGAACACAGTCCTTTTCAACTGATTGAGCTTTATTTTATGTCCTACAGGATGGTCTGTCATGGTGAGTGCTCCATGAGCACTTGGAAAGGAAGTGAGTGTCTGTAAATGTCACTTAGGTCAGGTGGGCTGACGGTGCTGTTTGCATCTCTGAGGTCCCTACTGATTCCTGCGAATCACTGAGAGCAGCGGGTTGGAATCTAGTTACAGATCTATTTCTCCTTGTTTTCCCTTCATGTATTTTGATTCATGTTCACAGGTGCAAGTACATTAGAATTGCTATGCCTTTTTGATGCCTTGACACCTTTGTCATAAAAGACCCCTCTGTTTCTGGCAGTATTCCTTTCTCTAGAGTTTAATCTGTGCTATGAATGTAACTTCTCCAACTTCTCTTGATCAGTGTTTGTCAACCTATTCCTTTTCATTGCTTAGATGTTCGATTTCTTCATGTGGTTCGGAATTTATCTTTTAAATAATATATGGCAAAATTGACTTTTGCTCGAAGTACACTTCTATGAATTTTAACACACGTATAGATTTGTGTTGCCCCCACCACAGTCAGGACACAGAACATTCCGTTACCCCAAATACTTGCTTGTTGTATCTTCAGGGTCGCAGACTCCCTGCCTTCCTGAGCCCCTGGCAACTACTGATCTGTTCATCACTGCAGCTTTGTTGCTTTAACATTACTCATGAACAGTATGTAATCTTCTTTGAGACTGGCTTCTTTCACTCGGCATAAGGCCTCTGGGATCTGTCTCTGTTGTGTAATCAGCAATCACGCATCCCACGAACAGGGAGGGACATTTGGGTTCTCAGGTTTTGGTGATTGTAAATAGACATGCTATAAACATTTGTGTATTTTGTGTGAACGTAAGTTGTCATTTCTTTAGGGTTCATAGCTAGGAATGGGATTGCTGGGTCATGTTATAAGTATGTTTCACTTTATGAAAAGCTGCCAAGCTGTTTTCACAGGGGCTAAACATTTGGCATCACCACCAAAACTACGTGAGAGTTCCCACAGTTCTGTGTCCTCACCAGTCAGCGCTTTTTATTTTAGCCATTCTGTTAGGTTTGTGGTCACGTCTCATTGTGGCTTTAATGTGCAACTCACCCATGGCTGATGATAATGACACATGATTACATTTGTTCACCTACTCCAGATATCCTTTTTGGTTAGATGTCTGTTCAGATCTTTTGTCCATGTTTTGATTGGTTTCTCACAGGTGAGCGTGGAGAGTTCTTTATGTGTTCCAGACGCAAGCCCTTTGTCAGATGGGAGTGCTTTGAGCAACTCTCGAAGCAGGCAGCCTGTCTTCTCGTTCTCTTGACCGTGTCTTTCACAGAGCAGCCTGTGTCATTCTGATGAGGCCCACTTCTGTTTTTCTTTGCTGGAGTGTACTCTCCATGTCTTATCTAAGCACTGTTCATGTAACTGCAGGTCACACAGATTTTTCTCTTATGTTCTCTTCTAAGAGTATTTTCCATTCAGGTCTATGATTCATTCTGACCTAATCTTGTACAAGGTGTGAGGTTGTAGTTCAGTTTCTACATGAGAATGTCTAATTGTTCCAATACCATTTGTCGAAAAGATCATCCTTTCTCCACTGACTTGCTTCCACGCCTTTAAAAAAACCTTGGCTGTATTTCTGTGGGTCTACTTCTGGATCCTCTCTTCTCTTCCATGGATGTATGCATCAGTCCCTTTGCCAATACCACAGGATCTGGATCACTGTAGCTTTGTTGTAAGTCAACACTAAGTAGTGTGATGCCTCAAAATGTATTCTTTTCCAAAATTGTTTTGGCTATCTTAATTCCTTTGCCTTTCCATGTAAATTTTAGAACCAGCTTGTCCAAAGCTATAGAAAACTCTGTTGACACTTTGATTGGGATTATTTTAAATCTATCGATCAGTTTGGGGAGAACTGACATATTTACTATGTTGAGTCTTCCAATCCATGAACATGGGATGTCCTTCCATTTATTCAAACCAGCCTACAAGTCCCGTACATGTTTTATTAGATTTATACCTAAGTCTTTCAGTTTGGGGGAAGCTATTATAAATGGTATTGTTTTTAATATTTTGGATCACATTACAATGCCCAAGGTAAGGAACTCAGGAGTTCATAGATGATTTAGGGTTGCAGCCTGAGATCCCCCTCTCTGCAACCTCCCCATAGTTTCAAGTGTTCTGGGGCTGCCCTTTTTAGTCCTCTGGCAAGAGAGTTGGGGCTTTTATTGCCCCATGCTATGACTTACTTCCCGTGAGTGCACTCATGGTGGGTGGACAGAGAAAAAGAAAAACGATGGAAGTTGCCCAGCCTTGTGGAGCCATAGGACCTCCAGTTGGAGACTGACCCAGTCAGTCTGGGTCCCTGAGGGAATCCCCCCTTTGCTGCTATTGTTGGTCCTGCTTCTCGTGCCCAACTAGGGGCTGCTCTTGGAGCTCTTTCCATCCATCTGATGCTCACTTCTGGTCTGGGAGTCCTGCTTTGAGTCCAGGCAGGGGGGACACCAGAGGAAAAAAAATGGTGAACTCACCACTGGTTCTGTGGTGCTTTGAAGCTTGGTCCTCTTCCCCAATCCACCTGCTACTACTTATTTTTCAGAGTCCTCAGATTGCTACTCCATGCATTCTGTCCAGGATTTATGGCTGCATTCAGTGGGAGACACAAGGTAGAGTGTGCTTACTCCATCTTACCCAAAATCAGAAACCCATTCCAATTTTCAAATTATTTTCAAATTATCTGTGTCTTTATATTTATGGTAGGTTTCTTGTAGATAGTAATATAGTTGCATCTTGCTTTTCAGTTCCATTTTACAATGTCTGCCTTTTAATTGGTGTGTTTAACCAATTAATGTAACTATCAATATGATTAAACCTATCATCTTGCTCTTGGTTATCATTTGTCCCAATTATTCTTTATTCCTTTTTTCTTCTTTTCCTGCCTTCTGGATGAAGTGTTTTTAGGATTCCATTTTATTTCCACCACTGGTTTATTGGCTATAACTCTTTATTATTATTATTTTTTCTTGTTCCTCTGGGTTTATAATGCATATCTTTAACTTACTGTAGTCTACCTTCAAACAATATCACACCACTTCATATATAATGTAAGGCCATTACTATATTATTTCCATCTTTCCCTTCCTATCCTTTATGCTAGACACTGATAAACTATGGCTTGCAGAGCCAATCTTGCTTGCCACCCATTTTAAAAAATAAAGTTTCATTGGAAAACAGCCATGCCCATTCATGTATGTATGTCTATGGCTGGCTGCTTTTGCATTGCACTGGCAGAGTTGAATACCTGTGATCACATGGCTCATAAAGCCAAAAATATTAATATCTGGCCCTTCACAGAGAAAGCTCACATATTCTGCTTTAAGCAATTGAGGTCATACATTTTATTTCTTTAAATGTTATAAACTCCATAACATATTGTTATTTTTTGTGTTAAAATTATCTTTAAAGAGATTAAAAAGTAAGAAGAAAAGTATTTTACAGGCATACCTTGGAGATATGGTGGGTTCAGTTCCAGACCACTGTAATAAAGCGGATATGGCAATAGAGCAAGTCAAATGAATTTTCTGGTTTCCCAGTGCCTATGAAAGTTATGTTAACACTACACTGCAGTCTGTTAAGTGTGTAATAGCATCATGTCTAAGAAAATGTACACACCTTAATTAAAAAAATACTTCGCTAAAAAAATGGTAACCATCATCTGAGATTTAGTGAGTCATAATCACTGAACATAGATCACCATAACAAATGTCACCATAATTTAAAATTTTGAAATACTGCAGAATTACCAAAATGTGACACAGAGACACAAAGTGAACGAATGCTATTGGAAAAATGGCCCCGTTGGACTGGCTTGGTGCAGGGTTGCCACAGAGCTTTAATTTGTACAGAACACAGTATCAGTGAAGGGCAATAAAATGGGGTATGCCCATATGTTTACCATTTCTAGAGCTCTTCATTTGTGTAGATCTGGATTTTCATCTGGTGCCATTTTTCTTCAGTCTAAGGAATTTCCTTTAATGTTTCTTACAAATCAGATATGCTGGTGATGAATAATTATCTGTTTCTGCTGTCTGAAAAATATCTTAATTTCACCTTAATTTTTGAAAGATAATTCTCCTGTGTATACTACTAGGTTGATAGCACACTGTCTTTTGGGCTTGCGTTGTTTCTGATGAGAGGTCTGTTATCATTCTTGTTTCTCTGTATGTACTGTGTCTTGTCTTTTTCCTCTGGCTGCTTTTCAGATGGTCTCTTTGTTATTGGTTTTCAGCAGTTTGATTATGATGTGTTTTGTGTGATTTTCTTCATGCTTTTCTTGGACGTGTGGGGTTTAATTTTCATTGAATTTAAGAAAATATTTGACTATTACTTCCTCATTTGTTTTCTGTGCCCTTCCGCTCCCCTCCCTCCTTCTGGGACTCCACACGAACATACACCAGACTGCCTGTTGTGTGCTCCACAGGTCACTGAGGAGACGGTCTTGGTTGCAGTCTCTCTCCCTCCTGTGCTGCTTGTTGGGTAGTTTCTTGCTTCAGTTCACTGATCTTTCCTTCAGCAATGTCTAACCTGTAGCTAATACAGCCAGTGTATTTTTTATTTATTTTTATTTTTTTAAAAAGATTTTATTTATTTATTTGACAAAGAGAGACACAGCAAGAGAGGGAACACAAGCAGGGGGAGTGGGAGAGGGAGAAGCAGGCTTCCCACCGAGCAGGGAGCCCGATGCGGGGCTCGATCCCAGGACCCTGGGATCATGACCTGAGCCGAAGGCAGACGCTTAATGACTGAGCCACCCAGGCACCCTGCCAGTGTATTTTTTAAATTGAGATTTTATGTTTTTTATTTCTGGAAGTTTCTTCTCTTATATCTTCTTCTTCTACTTTTTTCCTCAACGGTCTTGAGCACATGGAGCGTGTTCACAGTAGATCATTAAACATTCATATCTGCTAATTTCATCATCTCTGCCATCTGTTTTATTGATCTGTTTTTCTCCTGGCTGTGGGTCATATATTCTTGATTCTTAGTATGCCTGATAATTTTTGTTTTTTTGTCCTGGATTCTGTTATATTCCTTCAAAGAGTATAGGATTTGATTCTGGCATATGATTAAATTACTCGGGATTGTTTTGATCCTCTCAAACTTTCCTTTAATATTTGCTAGGACAGGTCAGATTAGCCTTTGTTCTAGTGTTTATTTATCCATACCAGCAAGCTGATACCCCAGTGAGGACTCTACTCAGTCTTGGCCCTGGGTGTGAGGAGCTCTGCATGCACTCTGGCTATAGAGAAGTGAGTTATTCCCAGTCTTGTTCAAGTTCTGGGGATTGTCTGATTCAGCACTCCCAGGGGTTCTTTGCCCAGCCTCGTAGATTTCACCCAGACTGTGCTGAGTGAAGAGGCAAGGAGTCCTTCTGCATGTCTTCGGAGATTCTTCTTGCACTCTCTCCAACCCCTCTTAGTAGAATTCCAGAAAGGAATTCTCCCCACAAATTGCACCTACCAAACTAGAATCTCTGTCTTTGTGACCCAGAGACTCAGAGGAACTGCTAGAGTCTGGATCCCCTTGCTGCACAGTGGCCTGGAAACTTCCTGTGGGCAGACTTGGGGGCAATTGTGGCGTGCTCTTCACTTCAGTCCCTCCTCCCAGGGGTAACAAACCTGTGATGCCTGTTGTCCAATGGCTGAAAACAGTTGTTTCATATATTTTGTCTAGCTTTCTAGTGTTGATGGTGAGGGAAATTCCCAGAACAATCTTTCTTGGCCAGAAGCATCAGAATGGGTACCATTTTTTAAAAATTATCTTTAATTTTTGGCCAACTTCCTGTTGAATCTGGTTAGAATGTCCAGACTGGTACCTTGTAATGTGACTAGTAAGGTTTTACTAGGGGTGGAAGTGTCAGTTCTGTTGTTTCTTATTGGTTGCTTTCATTTGCATTATTCTTCCTGTACAAAAGGTGGTTTCTCTGCAAAATCTTTGAAATCACTGATCTGTTTCCTAACATGAATTTAGTTAAATACACAGATACTTAGATAACAATATGGGCAAGGTGAACTGTGACCCATTACAGTGATTTTAAGCAACCAAACAGGTAAGGTTGCCCCTCCCCTCTTCCCCTCTGCACGGCAGAGCCTCACCCTCTCCTCAGGACACGGCCTGTCCTATGTGTGGCCCTCTGACCAAAGACTGATGGAGGGCATAGCATCCATCTATACCCTACTTATGGGTAAAATTTAATTTCCTTCTTAAATTTTTAGACTCAAACTAAATCTGACAAGCTTGTCTTGAGCATCTCCCAGGGGAGCAGCTGCCCATGCTGTGGACTTTGCTATCGCTGGCACAGGAGCTGGGCAAGGCCTTAGGTGGTCACCGCCATGTCAGATGCTAACAGCCTGAATTTATTCTGTGGGTTGTAAAATCGAGTTGGTTTTTTAACTGATCTACCAAGTCATAACTAGCATTTAAAACAACATGAAGTAGAAACTAGCAGATTTCATCACATGTGATAAAGGTCAGTTTTCTTGCCAACCCCTGTGGCTCGCTCCCTTGCATGGCAAGGGGTCTGGAGTAGGAAAGAAGGGTGTTAAAAAGCCAAGAATCTCCCGAGCAGGAAGAGGGGCCCTGAGAGGGTGGCCATTTTGCCCTGCATTTCATCGATGGGGACTGGGGCTGGAGGCGACAGGCGGGAACAGGAGGCACGCTCAGCCCTGCACCGCACATGGTGGCAGGGTCACGACCAGCACGGCAGCTCAGGGGACAGGCTGGCGCAGGCAGGGCTGGGGAGACGACCCCCTGGGCCAGAAGCGGGGCTGAGCTGGACCGTGAGGGAAAGGGGCTGGTGGCTGCACGGGACCGCTGTCACTGGGGGCTTCGGGCGCGGGCCGTTACCCGTCTCACAGCGAGGTCCCTCGAAGGGCTCTGCGCACAGGCAGGTGAAGTTCCCCACGAGGTCGACACACGAGCCCCCATTGAGGCACGGGCTGGAGGCACATTCGTCCACATCTGGGGGCAGCGGAGGCGGGAGCTTGGCTTGAGCCAGCCTTTGACTCCCGGGCACCCGGTATGGGTGTGGCTGGATGGGACCCCCCCCTCCCCCAGGGCCAGCCCCTCACCCGTCTCGCAGGCTGCGCCTGTGTAGCCGGCCAGGCACAGGCACACCGCCGAGCCCCGCTCTGCCTGGCACCGACCGCCGTTCTGGCACTCCCTGGTGTCACATGGAGACAGTGCTGCAAGGGCAGAGGAGTGGAAGGCGTCGGCCCTCCGGCCGGGCCCCTGGGAACTCCTGCCGCACCCCATTCTGGGGGGCATCAGGCTGTGGGGGGACCATTCTGATCATCCTGCCACCGGTGGGGCCAGAGGGCCCAGGCACACTCTTACCTGTCTCACAGGTCGGTCCCCTGAAGCCGGCCGGGCACCTGCAGCTGAAGCTGTTGACGCCATGTGTGCAGGTCCCCCCATTCTGACATGGATGGGAAGCACATTCGTTCACATCTGAAAAGCAGGGCAGCCTGGGGCCTCAGTAGAGGAAGCCAGGTTGGGGAGGATCTGCCTGGACCCCTTTTGGCCTCACTTCCAGGGGGCTCAGTTCCGAAGAGGCAGCTGTAGCCCCGGCCCACCGTGCTCACCTTCAGGGAGCCACAGTGTTTGCCCCCCACCCCCCAACAGCACCTACATCGTGGGAACAGAGACCCTTGACCTTGGGCCCTGGGGCCACTGGCTGTGCTGGTGGGTGTAAACTTACCCAGGTGACACCTCCTCCCTGTAAAGCCTGAGAGGCAGGAGCAGGTGTAGGAGGGGTTGCCCGTGACACAGTCATCAATGCACTTGCCGCCGTTGAGGCACGGGCGCAGGGCCAGGCACACGGAGGCTGTGGACACAGCAAGGAGCGAGCCGTCCCTTTCCTCCCCTGACCCCAGGGGCCCATCTCTGAGGAATGGTTGTGCAGTCTGCTGGCAGCCCAGCATCCACGGTTAGCTTCCCAGGTCTCGCCCAGGGTGCCTAGTGCACCTGTATGTCCCGCTGACATTCGGGTTCCTGGGCTGGGACTCTGGCTTCCCCAGCATCCATCATACCCACAGCACCTTTTTTTTTTTTTTTTAAGATTTTATTTATTTATTTGTCAGAGAGACAGAGCATGAGCAGGGGGAGTGGCAGAGGGAGAGGGAGAAGCAGACTCCCCACTGAGCAGGGAGCCCGATGTGGGACTCGATCCCAGGACCCCAGGATTGTGACCTGAGCCAAAGGATCAGACACTTCACCAACTGAGCCACCCAGGCGCCCCCCCCAGCACCTTCTTATCCCTTTAATCCATCAACTTCCAAATTTGTCTGAGGAACTAAGAAGACACAGACCCAAGGGTGCCCAGCAACACAGGAAGACATGAGTGTGCTTCATTGGAAAAACAACGTGGAAGAGGGGGACCCCCATGGGAACCAGAGATGGTGGGCGGGGGAGCCCTCAGACCCTCCGAGGTGGGGATGCAATCTGATCTCAGCGCTGCCAACAGTAATTGCAGAAACCCAGGCCCAGCTGCCTCTCCAGGTCTCCCCGTGTAAACCAAGAGGGCTTCCCACAGAGCTCTGGAAGGCAGGGCTTCTCACATCACAGCCTCCTGGCCAGGGAGAGCCCCCAGCAGTCACCAGGGAGCACCCAACCCCATGCCTGGGCCCTCTAGGACTGGCCGCCCGCCAGCTCAGGAGGCCCTACCCCTCTGGAGAAGTAAGACATCTGCAATAAAGGAGCACAAATTGGCAGGGAACAAGAACACCCCACCGTCTCGGATCTCCTGTTACTAGGGGGCCTGGGAGATCTAGAGTGGCATCAAGGGGAGCAAGGGGGGGACGTTCTTGGAAGGACCCTGTGGCCCAGAACACCATCAGGGCTAAGGGCATCTTTTGGACTGTTCCTGCTCCTCGTGCATACCCTTCCACTCAGCCACACTGTCGCTCAGCTGGTCGTGGTTTGGCTACCCTGTGGAGTGTGCTGGCTGTCTGCATGAGTCCTGTTTCGGGACCTGCCTTTCTCAGGAGCTAGACTTCCAGATGTGGATGCACTGCCTCTCAGGTGGGACCTGGCCCTCCCTTCCCAGCAAAGCCCGTGTGTTGGGTCCATCTCCTGGGCTTGCAGTATGGCCATGGGGAAGCAAGGGGGCTCCTGTGCGCACTAGTTCAGAAGGCCCAGCAGTGCCTCCTCCATCTATTTACCCCCAGAAGCCTGCGGTAGCAGGAGAAGCACGTCTGCATGCGAAAGGGATCCCCGGGGGGACTGGCCAGACCCCCCTCGGAGGATCTCATTTCTCAGGGTCTCACAGCCTGCAGCCTTTGTAGAGGGCATGGGCCTTCCACACCTAGACCCACACCTGTACACACACCTGCACCCATACGTACAGCCACACCTGCTCACAGCAGTCCCCACCTGTACCCACACCTGTCACCCACCTGCTCAGGCTTGCATCCACACTGCACTGACGCCTGGTCACAGCAGCCCACATCTGTACCCATGCCTTCATCTTGAACCACAGCCCAAGCCCCTGGCTACTGGGAGATGACAAGCAACCAGACCTTTCTGCCATCAGAGACAGAATGATGTCCCCATCCCCTGCACCACCACTACCCAGATCCCAGGTGGGCAGAGTAGGCGGCCTGGCCTGGGGCTGCAGGAGACCTTGCATATTCCTGGGTGTCCTGCCTGCCACTTTGGGGGAGGGGCAAAATGATTGGCTCCTGGGCTCCCTGGCCTGTGAGGTCCCCCATCCCCTGAGCTCAGGCTCAGGCTGGGGCGTACTTGGTGCTCCAGTGAGCGGGTGGGCTCAGGTTCCCCAGGCATCTCTCACTGGGGCATCAACCCCAGTCCTTGGTGAGCCTTCCAGCCCATGGGGGCATGCCTGCCCTCCCTGGCCCTGGCCCCTGAAAAGTGCTGGTCTGGATGGGTTCCACCTGCGCTGGGTTCGCTCTCAGAGAGCTGGTGTTCCCGGAGGTGAAGAGGCCCTCTCGGTGGCCTCGGCCTCCTCGTGGGTGGGAGGTGAGTCTGCTGGGACCCTCCCGACACCGGCCTCACTGTGGCCTTTGCAAGGCCTGTGGTTAGCTCTCCACCGAGTGGCTAAATCTATCACCTCCTCTCCATTTATAAGCATGATGTCTCAGGAGGGTCTGTGCCTCCTCCAGGGCCATACAGGGGAAGGGGCCAGGATGCATCCTTCCGCCCTGGGGTGGACCTTCCCCCCATCTGCCGCATGTAAAGCACCTGCCTTCCAGGTGATCCCGGGGACACAGGAGACCGGGGTGGCGCGCCTCCCCGGCCCAGGACGCAGCCTGGGAGAGAGTGAGGGAGAGCATCGACTCCTGGCCCCAAGGAGGGGTGACCCCAGCTGCTCCACTTGGCACCACAAACCTTGGTCTCCAACAGATTCCCTGGCCCTGGAGCTGGGGTAGGAAAGCCTCCCCAGGAAGAGACGGGGCTCAAGGGGCGAGCCGATGCTCGCCCAGGTTCATGGCTAGGGGAGAGTGGTGGGGGAGGCCGTGCCCTCCTGGCCGGCAGCCTGCCCCGGCCCCGGCGTCCCGCTCCCCCCTCCAGCACCCCGCTCACCCCATCAGCGGCCGCCCCGCCAGGGTCTGGCTCCCTCCTGCCCCCCCACTCCCGAGCCGCCCCAACCCCCGCAGCCCTGAGCCGCCGGCTCCATCCTCTTACTTGTATGGCTGCAGCCCCCCACGCGCACCTGGGCATCATCGATTCTGAACGCCCAGCGCCCGGGCACACCCACGTTGGTGGTGGTCTCCACCGCCGCCATGTCCGCCGTGCGGGAGCCGGGGATGCTGAAGTAGCGCCGCCCGTCACCCGCATTGAAGCCGGCCTGGGAAGGTGGGTATGGAGAGCGGGGACAGGCGTGGGTTGGTCTGCAGGTCTCCCTAAATTTCCTGAGACCTCCCTCCCCCATGGTGGCCATGGTCAAAGAGATCACGTGGAAGACGGCCTTACAACCCTGGAGCCGTACGGGTTTAGGGATACCCTTACCACCCTCCATGTTGTGCCTGTCCTGATCAGCCGCCTCCCAGCTGGGTGCTGACCCCGACACTGTTGGGCCCTGGCAGGCTCCCCTCACGCACACCTGCAGGGGCTCCCTCCCTAGGCTCTTGGCTCCCGTGGGGACCAGGGGCAGGTGTAACCTCAGAAGAAAGTAGACGACTAGGAAGGAGATGAGGGTCCTCCCATTGGGAGGGAGCACTCGCTGGCCCTGGGGACTTGCACCTGACTGCTCCCTCCACACTTGTGGTTTCCTGCTGGCCACAGTTCTGCGGGCCACGGGCCAGGCCAGACCCCCGGGACAGCGAGCGCACCCAGAACCAGGGGCCCTTTTGCCTCGGCTGCAGCTGGCCCTCGGAGGCCAGGGAAGTGTGGGTCGGGACAAAAGTGCCTTTGACCTGAGGATGTTTCTGTGAGTCTGGACTGGGCTTGGCATCAGAAGGCCTCACACTGGCCTCTGCCCAGTACTGGGTGTGTGTGGGGGGTCTGCCTGCCTCCTCAGCTCATGGCAGCCGTGGCGGTGGGGAGCCGGGCCCCTACCTGGGCTGCGATGCCCCCCAGGCCCGTGGTGTCGCCCCCGCTGCTGGCGTGTGTGCCCGTCGTCCACGTGATGGACTCATAGTTGAAGATGGTGAAGGAGAACTTGCCGTCAGTGATAAGCACGGTCTGGAACGTGTTGACCTGCCGAGGAGGGAGGCCTGAACACGGTTTTCTCTGCTCCCTTGTCCATGCTGCAAGGCCCTACCCGCCCCCCCCAGCATATGCCTTCACACACTGTCCTCACCCAGCGGCCCCTCCTCTGTCTTCCCAACTCGCTGGTCAGCCATCTGCCGTCGGGCTGATGGCCTCGTCCTCTACTGTGTCTACTAGTGCCTGAGGCCTGAGGTCAGGCCCCTAACAACTGTCACCTGGGGAGGTAGACACGCCGAGGGTTCAGCGGCCCACGGACGCCAGGAGCAGACGCTGCGCCCTGGGGCGACTGGGGCACAAGTGTTCGCGCTTACAGGCTCAAATCCACAAAGTTGCCTCGTGTGAAACAAAAAACGTGAAGAGGGAAAGATAAAAAGAGGAAACAGGAAAAGCAGTTTTAATGATTTTTTTCATGGAATCCTCTTCCATGAAGATATTGAGTGGTATATATATGGGATGTTATTTCAGATTGGGGAAAGGGTGGGGTTGTTTAGGAAGTGATCTTGGGACAAATAGGAAACTGTCTGAAAAAGAATAAAATTAGAGCTTTACATCACTCACGAAAATAAATCCCACGTCAAGTAAGGTTGTGAATGGAACCATCAAAGCCCTAGAATATAGGCTCATATGTGGAGCCATGTCAAGGAAGGACTTTAAGTGTAACATTTGTTAACTGCAAAAACCAAAAAGGAGATTTATATACTTGACTACGAAAGCTTCTGCATATAACAAAGTGCCATAAGAGCAAACGGAATGGCAAACAGCAGAGTGAAGAATGTATTTATAACATAGGTGGCAGGTGAAACTATTGATACCCTTAGTTCAAGTGGAACTTCTATGGGTCAGTAAGAAAAAGATGAAGAAGAGAACAGAAAATTGGCAAAGGTTATGTGAGCAGACACACTACCATAGACGACAACTAGTTGATAACACAGGACAAATCCTGTGGCACGAGAGAGGTGGAGGGTACTAGAGAAAGGCCTTCCTGTGCGCCGCAGTGGCAGGCAAGGGTGCGGCGTGCTGGGCCCCCCGACTGGGCGCGGGGAGACCCGGGCTTCCGCACCTGGCTTATTCGCGCCTGTGGGGGTACAGGCTTGAGGGGCAAGTCAGGACTCTGTGGGCAGCAAGCTCCGCACTGGAGACTCATGCCGGGCAATGGCCCCCAAGCTAGCGGGGCCCGGCAGTGCCCACCACACGGCACCTTGCCATGTGTGCCACCGGGTGCTGGGCTGGTCTGCAGGTGTACACAGTGGGACAGCACCAGTCTGTCCTCTCCCTTACATAACCATGAACAGCGGGAAGACTAAGTGGGCTCCCCATGGGGAAGGCAGACCTGCTGCTAACACTGAAGACAGCCAGGACACAGTGGCCATGAAGGCTGAGTGGCGGGGGAGTTGAGGGGGCCCGGACTGCGGCCAGTGCGGCCAGCAGTGGGGCTTTGCGAGCTGGCGAGGTCCAGCGTGCGAGGAGACCCAGGCCCCGTGTGGAGCTTCACGCTTGCTCCTGGCCAAGCAGCCGGCTCTGGGAGGCTCCCAGGTTACAGACCAGCTTCCAGCCCAAACCCAGAACTCTGATCCCTTCCAGGGATGCTTGTGTTGCCTGGGTAATCATTCTGTAGCCCCCATCTCCAGGTCCGAGGACTGGAGGAGTTAGGTTTCCTCTTTCCGCGTAGGAGGGGCTCTGCTCCCCCTGCTCCCACGGGGAAGGAAATACCCAGAGTGGCTGCAGAGATGACAGGATTTCCACATAGAAGAGTGAGGAAAATGCCCTACTACCACTGAGTGAAAAAACAAAACAAAACAAAACCACAAAACAAAGCATTCTAGCTGGCTCTATTTATTTGTTAAAGTGTGTGTCAGGATACAATAGATGTTTGATGGGAGCGATCTCTTGCTAGTGGACTTACTGATTCTTTTTTCTCTTTTTGTTACAAAGATGTTTTTCTTACAAATCGATGATAAGAAAAACAAGTAAAACTGACAAAATATTAGTGGACTGTGCATGAAAATAAAGTTCACCCAGGGTAAACATTTATTTGTAGTAATGTTTACAGAAAAAGCCCATCTTTGCCTATTCACTGTCATACTCCTTTTAAGAAATCCAGCAGTGAACATCTCGGTCCCTCAGTGTCCCTGGCTGATGCGCTTGCTGGCATTCTCTTTGTCATCTTGGCTGCTGGAGAACTCAGGCTTTGTGCGGGACTCGCACGTCCCTGCCCACCAGCCCTCTCTCCCACTCACACCACTGCTGGGGGCCCCAGCTGCACCTCCAGATGCCCGCTGGGCACTTGCACCCCGCCACCCTGAGTACCTGCCCCCACCCTCTGCCCAGCCGTGTGCATGACGGGAAAGCAGGCCCTTCCCTCGACCACTCTGCCTCTCCCCTGCAGCCCAGTGTCCTGACACATTTGTCCCTCAGGACTGCTCTGAAGCATCCCATTCCCCCAGCTCCGGAGCCCCAGGTGGCTTGCATAGCAGTCTCAGGGCGAGCTCCCGCCCCCTGGTTGTGCTGTGCTGAGCACTTCTCGGCACTTGGCATGGAGAGTGTGCCCCACGGGAGAGACACATGCCCGATGCCTTTGTTGTTTGGCATTATCACAGAATAAAGGATAAAACAGAATAAAGTTCCCACTTAGCCTATTGAGAATTGAACCCTTCCAAATGGGAATTCTGACACAACCCAAGTTCCACCAGTGTGCGAAACACTGTATCAGGGCATTTGGCATTTTCCTAGAGGCAGATGGTTTCTGGGAGGGCTGGGGAGATTCAAGGCTCTGTCCTCCAACCTGGCTCTGTGACCCTGGGGGAGTGACTTCCCTCCCTGAGCTGGGTTTTCCCGTCTCAGGCATGGACCAGTGATTATGTCTGACCCCTCTCAGCAAGGTGGGGCCCCTGGGGGGAGACCCTGGACCCCAGATGGACATCCTCCCTTCCCCAGGACAAAAAACTCACAGGGGAAGAGGAGCTGCCTCCAAAGAAGGTCACGCGGTACCAGGTAGCTATGAAAACCCAGGTGGCGGAGAAGTCCGGGAGCTCGGGGAAGTAGCGCCTGACATCCTCTGTGGCTCTGTGCAGCGTTGCTGGGTCAGTGGCCTCCCGGTAGTACACATCACCTGCACGCCGATTGTCCACATCTGCCCAGAAGGCTGCCACTACGCAGCGGTCCTTGGCGATGGGGAAGGCCACTGGGGTGAACTGAGAGACTTCTTTCAGGAAGGAGATGATCCCATTATTGTTCACCTGTCAGAAAGAGAGGGGACCAATGGGCACCTAGGGGTGGCAGGTGGGCCTGGCAGCCTCCCCTTCCTCACCCACCAGGCACCCTCCAAGGGTGAGCTGGCCTTGAGCAAGGCATCCCCAGAATGGCTTGACAGTTCCTGGTCCCTGACACAGGACCCCTTGGCCTGCTCCATCCCCTTGCAGACAAGCTGTGTGCTCAGGGACAGGTTGTGTGCTCAGGGACAGGCTCTGACCTGTTTGCTGTACCCAGTGCCCTGCAGAGTGCCCAGATCTGGGTTGCTGCTGTGGGGTCGGGGAGCTCCCATTGTGGGCCCTGGCTTTGGGCAAATGGGGTGCCCAGGGCCCTGGGTCCCACTTTAATCAGGGACCTTGGGAGGGCACAGCAGAGTGCCAGCCTCCGAGCCAGGTGTGGACAGGTGAGTCAGAGGCACATGAGGAAGGGTGAGCAGGTAGTGCTGGGGAGCAGAGCTGGGGATGGGCAGGAGCCAGTGTGGCCAGGGGCGGCTGGAAGGGCCTTGATGGCTGGGTTGGGGGTGGTCTGTGCTCAGGACGCCAGACAGTGGGGAGCCCCAGAAGGCTCCTGAGCAGAAGAGGGGGAGCAGCATCTCTGTAGTAAGACACAACTGGCCCCAGGGGTGACCCTGCCACTCAGTTAGCTGTGCAACCATGAGGCAGGTTAGCCTTGCTTCTCTGTGCTCTGGGTTTTTACCCATGAGATGGGGATAACACTAGTTCTTCCCTCCAGGATGCTGGACAGCCTTGAATGAATTAATGGTCACAGAGCTGGCCTCTAGACTGCCATGATTTGCTCCTGGTAAGATTGTGGTCAGAACTGTGCTTTTAGAAAAGGCCTTCTGGACTTCCCCCTTTAGGTGAGAGCCGGCTCTGTAATCCAGACCAATACAAAAGACAGATAAGCACACCTCTCTTTGGAAAGACACAAAAGAGCAAACAAGCAAGTGAGGGAGTTTCAGTGTTTCAATTCCAAAATGAGGACAGGGAAGGACTGGAGGTGAGCCTGGCACTCATAGTTCCTTTCCCCGTGAGTGCCTCTGCAAATTCACAAGCAACAGCTGCAAAGGAGAACTGCAGTTTTAGTAGCCTCATGGAGGGAAAGGGAGAGAAACATCGAAGCTCAGAGCTTACTCAGTGGTGGGGATAAGCCCCCACATTAAGTGGGGTGAACTTGAAGTACACAGTCCTTGTGCAGCCTCACACTCCACTGTGCCGTCACCTGAGCAATCCAGGGCTCCTCAAACCGGGACTTGGTTTAAGGTGGCTCCCGACGGGTAGCATTCCAAGGTTCCAGGCAGAAGCAAAGAAAACCCTCTCTGGCAGAAGATGGCATCATCTTAGGCCTCAAGCTGTTCATATAAATAATTTTTCAAACACAAAACCCAGGACACAGTCAAAGATAATCGGGCACGCAAGGAAGCAAGACACCACTAAGAAGAATAAGCAGAAATGAGAGAAACTTCAGACATCAGAATTACCAAAGACTATAAAATAGCTAAGTTTACTGTGTTCCAAGAAAATGCAGACTTTAAATTTTGTCAAGAGAACAGCCAAAACAATCTTGGAAAAGAAGAACAAAGCGGGAGGACTTAGACTTCCTGCTTTCAAAACTTACTGCAAAGCTATAGTAGCAAAACAGTGCGGCACCGGCACAAAGATAGAAATTTAGACAAATAGAAGAGAATAGGGTGCCCAGAAATAAACCGTCACATATAGGGTCAAATGATTTCCATCAAGGGTGCCTAGAGCAATCGACATAGGACAGGTTTTTCAACACATGGTGCTGGGAAAAATGGGTACCCACATGGAAAAGAATGAAGTTGGACTCCTACCTAACACCATATACAAAAATTAACTCAAAATGGATTGAAGACCTAAACATGAAAACATAGGATAAAATCTTCATGACATTGGCTTTGGCAATGATTTCTTGGATATGACACCAAAGGCACAGACAACAAAAGAAAAAAAAAGACAAACTGGAGTTCATCAAAATTAAAAATACTTTTTGCATCAAGAGACACTATCAGCAGAGTAAAAAGGTAACCCACAGAATGGGAGAAAATATTTGCAAACCATATATCTAATAAGGGATTAATATCCTAAAGATATAGAGAACTCCTACGACTCCACAACAACAACAAAAACAACCTGGTTAAAAAATGGGCAAAAGACTTCAATAACATTTTTCCAAAGAAGATATACAAATGGCCAATAAGCCCAAGAAAAGATGTTCAACATAACTAATCATTAGGGAAATGCAAACCCAAGCCACGATGAGCTACCACCCCACACCCATCAGGATGGATACTATCAAAAAAATAGAAAAGATCAAGTGTGGGCAAGGATATGGAAAAACTGGAACCCTTGTGCCCTGCTGGTGGAAATGTAAAATGGCACAGTCACTGTGGAGAACAGTTGGCAGTTTCTCAAAAAATTGCAAATAGAATTACCATATGATCCAGAAATTTTATTTCTGTATTAGTCTGCTAGGGCTGCCATAACAAAATATCAGACTGAGTGGCTTAAACAACAGAAATTTGTTTTCTTAGAGTTCTGGAGCTAGACGTGCAAGGTGAAGGGGCCATCAGAGTTGGTCTCTAGTGAGGCCTCTCTTCCTGGCTTGTAGATGGCTTCCTCCATGCTGTGTCACCACATGGCTTTTCCTCTGTGTGCACATGAGGAGGGAGAGAGCTCTCTGGTGTTTCTCCCTCTTATCAGATGAGGACCCCACTCATACAACCTCATATAACTTTAATTACCTCCGTAAAGGCTCTATCTCCAAATACAATCACATTGCGGGTGTAGGAATTCAACAGATGAATTTTGGGTGGCACACAATTCATCCACAATACCCCAAATAATTGAAAGCAGGACCTCCAAAAGATATTTGTATACCCATATTCATAGCAGCATTATGCATGACAGTCCAAAGGTGGAAGCAACCCAAGTTCCACCAGTGCATGAATGAGTAAGCAAATGTGGTCTATCTATACAATGGAATATGATTCAGCCTTAAAGAGGAAGGAAATTCTGACACGTGCTACAAGATGGATGAACCTTGAGGACGTTACACATAGTGAAATAAGCCAGTCACAAAAAGACAAATGCTATGATTTCACTTCTATGAGGGATCTAGAGTAGTCAAATTCATAGAAAGTAGAATGGGGGCGGCCAGGGGTGGGAGGAGAGGGGGAATGTGGGAGCCTCTGATGGGGACAGAATTTCACATTTACCAGACAAAAAGAGTCTGGAGGTGGAAGGTGGTGATGACTGCACAATATGAATGTCCTTAATACCACTGAACTGTACACTTGAAAATGGTTAGGATGGCAAATTTTATATTATGTGTATTGTCCATAATACAAAAAATTGATTTAAAAAAGGGCTGGGGGGCCACCTGGCTGGATTAGTCAGTAGAGCATGTGACTCCTGATCGCAGGGTCATGAATTCGAGCCCCTCGTTGGGTGTGGAGACTACTTTAAACAAATAATACTGTTTTAAAAAGGGTTGAGATTAAAAAAATCATCAGGGTGGAAATTACCTTTTAAAAAGCCATTTTAAAGAACTGAATAGGAATTCTAGTACTTTAAGTAAATAACAGATTAAGAACTAAGTAGATGGATTTAAGAGCAGATTTGAAGCAACTGAAGAAAGAACAAGTGAACTGAAACTAGAAGATGGGTCAGAAGAAACTATGTGCAATTTAGAACAGAGACAGAAAGATGGAGAGTAGAGAAGAAAAAATAAGACTTATGTGAAGCAGTAGGATGATCAAATAAATGTATGGTTTGGAGTACCAGAGGGTAAGGAGCTACAAAGGCAATGGCTGAGAATTTCTAGAACCGATGAAAGACACCAGGCCACATATTCAACAGTCCCAGTGATTCCCTAGCTGGAAAAAAAAGTAAAGCAACAACAAATGACTGCTAGAAATGCAGAAAACGAATGACGGGGAGACTATTGTAAAAGGAGAAAACATACACATTACCACCACGGGCCCTACAGGTAGAGTAACAGTTGATTTCTCACAAGAAATGATGGGAACTAGAAAACAGTGGGATCATATCTTTAATGTGCTGAAAGAAAATAACTGCTAACATAATCTTATACCCAGACAAAATATCCTTTATTACTGAAGGCAAAATAAAGGTAATTCAGATAAATAATAAATAAGTAAATAATAACTAAATAGCAGACCCACATGAAAGAAATTCAAATCAAAGGGAAATGTAAAGTCAGAGATGCAAGAAGGAGAAAAGGGCAAAGAAGGTGCTATGGACTGAATGTCTGTGTCTCCCCAAACTTCTTATGTTGAAACCTGACCCCCACTGTGATGGCATTAGGAGGCGGGGCCTGTGGGAGGAGATTAGGTCATGAGGGTGGAGCCCTCATGGTGGAGATTATAAAAGAGCCCAGAGAGCTCCCTCTTTGCTTCTGATGTGTGAGGACACAGCAAGAAGACGGCTGTCTATTAACCAGGAAGTGGTTCTTCACCAGACACTAAATCTGCCAGCCCCTTGATCTTGGACTTCCCACTTCAGAACTGTGAGAAATAAATGTTTAAACCACCCAGTCTGTGGCATTTTTGTTAGAGCAGCCAGAACAGATTAAAACAGAAGGTATGAGAATAAATCTAAATGAACACTGACCATATAAAGAAATAATATAAATAAAACTTTGTGGAATTGTGTAAAAAAAATCTGTAGAATTAAATTTCATGATAATATCCTATAAATTGGGAGAGTATTAAAGTGTTCCAAGCTCACTGTATTTTCCAGGAAAAGGATAAATGCATTGGTTAACTTATAAGTGAATATTGATAAGTAAAAATGAATATTGTACTGCCTAGGATAATCACCAAAAGAATAGAAACAGTGTATATAGTCCTAACTGATAGAGGGGATATGACTAAATGATTAAAATACTTGACATATAAGATGGCAAGAAGGAGAGGGAAGGGAATATAAAGTAAGTGGAACCA